CATGGGAAGTGGGAGAAGGGAAGCACAGAGGGCAGAAATGTGGGTTAAAAGCAGCATTCCCTTTGTCTTGAGGGCAGTGAGGAGCAGACAGGCAGGAGCTGATCCCAGCAGTTAATGCCAACACAGACATTTCTGATGGCACTGCAGCACCATTCCCAGGGCCCAGATTTAAAAGATACCCCCAAACTCCCACTGCAGCCATGGCCATCCCAATTCCAGCCTGCAGGCTGCACCACGCTCAGGAGTCACACCCTCAGTGCCACCTCTTCCTCATGGCAAGATGAGGTAGAGAAAAAAAAATCCCTCTCCAGAGCTATGATAAGCACACCTTCAAAACAAGATAACTCCATGTACAAAGGTTTAAACAAAGCCAAATTGGTATCTGGAATATTCCTCAGCAGTCACTTCCCATGAAGTTATATGCTTATTATTTTAATTTCTATGGGAAATAAAAAACAGAGAATGGTGGCCTGGCCTTCTAAAATCTGAAGCCAGACTTGTGGTAAACAGAATTACCCTGAAACCTGTGCAGCAAGTTATGATAACTTTATCACTTCTGAATTTCCAAGTGGCTTGTGGGGTGGTTTTTGTATTTTTTGGTTTGGGTGTGTGGTGTTTTTCTCTGGTGTTTTTTCACCATTTTGAAGTGAACTCAGACACAAGTTCTGCTTTGCCACCCACTACAACTGGCTGCATTATTTCCCAATTACAAGGAAAAAAAAAAGCAACCATACAAGTAATATAGCAGCTTTTAGCATTCTACACTTCTAGCTGTCTATCAGATCCACCCACAAATTCAGGATTACTCAATTGTTTGCTTACTGCTATTTCAATTGTGTTAAAGTTTAGCAAGTTGTAATTATTACCAAAAACTCTAAGAAATGCCCCTCACATAAACACTTGGTACTTCATTAGGAGTGTCATATTTGATTTATTTAATTTGTATCTAAAATAGTATTTAATCTGACAGCTTTCCTAATCATATTTAATTCCAGGTATACTCCAGTAATGAGTAAGAGGAACAGTCTCATCCAAAGGCAGTTACTGAAGCAATCCAACCAGCACAGTGGGATGGAACAGATCAGTCTCCATCTCACATTTATGAGGGGATTTTGGAATAAAACATACACAACCACATCCCTGAAAGCAGCCACAAAACAACTGGTTGGAAAGGAGAAAAGAGAATTACATTCCTATTTGTCAAATTTTCATTTCATGTGTAGTCATTTCAACCACATTAATGAGCTTCAGCTTCTGTAGTCTCCAAGTGTCCAAAACAGGTTGTGACAAATACAGAGACAATTTTTTTTTGTTTGGTTGCAGCAAAGATCTTCAGCAAAATCCTCTCTGTGGTTTTTCATTCATCTGGAAAACTGAAATCACCCACTTAAAAATGGGTAACAAGACCCCAGCACAGAGACCCTGCTTCAGGGAGCTGCTCCACCCCTGCCCTGTCCCCAAACAGGAGTGGAACAGCAGACTTGAAACCCTCAGAGAGTTTCCCCAGGCAGGGTAATGGTGAACTACAACATTAACTTCTTTTAAGTTTCAGACTAAATAATCAGTCCGTCATCCAACTACACTTCCTGCACCTCCACACTTTCAGTATCCACATCCAAACTCATAATCCTATCTGTAACTGCTTTCAAATCTTTGTAAAAAATGTTTACTATATTCAAAGAATCTCTATCCTAAAAAAAAACTTTTAAAAATTCAATTACTAAATAGTTTAATTAATCTTTAACCCTGAAGTTTTTATACCACTATTTTATATTTTTATAACTACTGTATTTAAGAACCTTATTTAAAAATGAAAATATAAATAATAACCAAACTCTAACTCTACCTAAATAAGATAGTTGCAAGGCTGTGAACTTGTTGTCAGAGATCAGTTCCTGCCCATCCATGAGTGCTCCCTTTGCTCAGGGCTGGTTGGAGCTGGGAGCAGCAGGGGAGGGAGGGAAGAGCAGGTCATGGCTGGGATCTCAGCTGAGGGGTTACTGCTCCCACAGCTAAAGTTTTAACAGATCTCATATAAGAGAGGCTACTTTAATAGGTTTATTTGTTTAGGAGTCACATCATTAAAGAGTGAACACTCAGAACTATCTCTGAGTCTCACTCATCTGCTCACACACCACACCAGCATCAATGATGAACGTTCAGGATTTCCTTTTAAAATTAAAGTGTACAATGCCACGGACTTTTTATTTTAATATAACCTTACACAAGGAGGAAAAAACCCACCAGAGCAACAGACAGGAAGGCAGGGCTGCTGGAGGAGCTGTTATCACAGCCCAAGACCTATTAGAAATCACAGCCTCCCTCCTGGCTGCTGCACCACCACAGCTATTGTTGGGAGAGCAGAGCACAGAAAATCTCCCCTTCTGGAAGCACAGGCTTTCAAACAGAGCTGGGAAAAATCCAGATGGGATCAGCTTCAAATGAAAGAAACAGCTCTATGTGCACATCCTTCAAAGGGACAGCAGGGACAGAGTGGGGCTGAGGTCCTGCAGCTCCTGCACAGCCCCGGGAAGGGCAGGGGAAGGAGTCACCTCCACACCAAGGGCACTGCCTGCTCCACTTCCAGGCAAATTCCTTGAAACGAAAGATTTCCAGCAAGAACAACCAAGCTGATTGAAATCTGCAGCTGTAAAACACAGGGAACAAGTCTCTAGAGTGGCTGGCCAAGCCTCAAAGTGCAGGGTGAGATAAATTATGATCCAAAGCACACTGGTAGCAAACTCCACATCCCCAGGATACCAAATTACCTCAAATTACACAGGCACAGGAATTCCTTCCCAGGGTTTCTGATGAAAGAACAGAAGAACATTCCCAAAGACAGCAGAGTAATATGGGATGAAAGACAAAAATACAGCTTCAAAACTGATTCTTAAGATCTGTGCATCAATACTCACAAACACAAGAGGGGCTGTTGGGGATTTAATTTGGTTTTTAATTAAGCCAGCCACATCTACAAAAAATTATAAACTTTGTATAGTTTTGGCTGATTAAGTGGATCCTAAGGAATGAAAAAGATGCAGAAGTTGTATTAAGGTTTAGTTTTTGTTAGTTTTAGAGCAGCTGTCTGGTAGGAAATGTATCCACACCCCAGGTGCCACATTCAGAGCTTTTTCCAGGCTGCTGCAAGTCCCTTTGTGTGGGGTTTGCAGTGCCACACTTAACTCTGGCCATGAGAGAAATGGTCCTTTTACCACAGGAGTGTTCCAGACTTGGGCACCACACAACACCCATGGCAGTGTTTGGTTCTCTCCCACAAGCCTGAACTGACCCTTCTGAAGAGCCCAACTTTCCTGAGAGCAGAGATTATCCCAATTCTAGATATTCCTAGGAGGGATGAGCCAAATTTGCCACGAGAGCACACATCTGTTCACCATTCCCCCACTTCATTCCATAAAAGCCAGTGCTCAGAGCATCACATGGTATGGAGCTATCTGGTAGGAAATACTGAAATTTCTCAACAATAAAATATCTTACATGATCTGTCAAAGCTATTTACATATTTTTCCTGTAGTTCTGGGCTACATATGATGAAATTGTGTGAGTAAGCACACAATTCCTTCAGTTATTTTCATTGAGCATGCTGACATTCTGACCTTCTTCAAAAAAGAATCAGAGTCTCCAAATTAAATAAACACTGCTATTTTATTTTAAAAGCTTTCATCAGCTTTTCCAGCAGCTCTAGAGAGCTTTACAGAATTAGTCTAGGAGAATCCAGGACATAACTAATGCTAGTTTAAAATGGCAATTTGGTCAACCAGTTCCTCAAAGGAGGAAAGCCCAGACTGTGCCAACACAATATTGGCCAAAATAGTTAAAAGTAAACTCTTTACTCTTGATTTATAGCAGAAAAAAGTGGATGGACAAGGACACCCCAGAGAGGAAACATTTGCCCTGACCAGGGTGGAGAAAGAAATGCCTGGAACTAAAGGACAAGTTTATACATAAATTAAAAGCAGCAGTTCACAACTACTAATAGAAACACACACAAACATGTGCTTCTGCTTCTTTTGCTCCAAAACAGCTTCTAAATTTCTTTCAAGTTTAAATTTATTGCAGAAGATGCCAACAATGGCCAACTCCACACCCAACAAGCAAAGCCACTGATCTCAAAATTTCCTGCATGCAAGATTTAACACATATATAGACACACAAAAAAACCACACAAAAAATCCCATCATCTAAGCTTTAAATTACTTTGGATGTTAAAAGCTGATTTGGGAACAGCGATTAAACTTGTTCCAGCTAACCTAGTTTTTATTCATTTCATTATTTATTGCTAGGCAACATGGACCGTGTCAAACCACGTTAGAACCATGAGAAGAAGTCCTTCCAATTTAGATCAAAAATTCTCTCCTCACCCTCCTCCCTCCCAGCATGGAGGCCACATGGATTCTTTTAACAGCAGCATTCCCAGACACCATCCTTTTCCTGACCAGGAGCTGACATTCCCAACTCTCAGCATCTCCCATGGGATGCAATTTATCCAAAGCTCAGGTGGGACCTGCAAAGAGCTCTCCATGATGAGTCTTTCTTGGTGCTAGCAAGCAGAACTAGCTGCAGTCACCTGCAGGTCTAGGGCAGATGGACCTTCAGAAGGTCCTTCATTCAGGACCTCATAAAAGATACGTCACTCAGGACCTTAAAAAAGATACCTTCATTCAGGTCTTTAAAAAAGATAGATACCTTCATTCAGGTATCTTTTTCTTCCTTCCTGGAAGACTCTACCTTCTTTCCCAACACCCATTATCCATGCTTTAGACACGGGTACCAACACAGAAAAGATTGTTTACAGTGTTTAGCATTACTCCCTTTCATCATAAGAAAGTTTTGAAGAACTCCAAAAAAGCAGCAAAATAAGAAAGAGCAGAGACCCAGGCTCCAGAATAAATCATCCACAGGAGCCTCTTAATCAAACCTTCCTTCTAGCACAAAGAACAAACCCTCTAACTTCTTCCAGAGAGCAAAACAGAGCCTCCTACCTCTTGTTGATGGGTTTCTCATCCTTCTCGTAGGGCTTCACGAACCACTTGCCGATGCGCACGAAGTTCCTGTTCATCAGACACCTCTCCAGCAGGTTGTGGACAGCCTTGAACAGCAGAGTGCGGCACTCGTAGGACAGCCCGTTCTCCCAAACCCCATCTTCCTCTTCTGCAAGGCACGGGGGAAACAGAAATCACTTTTCTATTCCATCCTGGCATGTCACACATATCACAATAGCCTTTTCTCTCCTGTGAGTTTTTAAGAGATATTCACAGCATAACACACAACCAAAAGCAGCCTGTAGTGCTCAGATAACTCTACTTACTTTGTGATGGAGCTGCTAAAAGTGATCAGCTGTAAAAATATCTCATCCCCCACAGGGAAAGAAGATTCAACAGTTGTTTGTACACAAAAGGAAACAAGTAGCAGCAGCACGTTATGACTGCAGCCTGCAAGAGCGCTGTGTGATCTGTCTGCAAGGTGGCTCGTGTTTTGGGGAGTCTGGGTTACTCATCCTGCAGGATTGGTGAGAATTAGGCTTAAAAATAAGTTTACCAAAGCCAGACCGAATATATTCTGGTGTCTTTGAGTAGCACGGACTGAAGAAAGCCAAGAACAAAAGTCAGCAATCAACTGACTCTCAATGATCTACAATTTGCTGGAGATGATGAAAAATGCTCAGATTCAGAATACTGGTAAGAGCAACATGATTCTCCCCACAAGACTCAAACCTGCCATTTTTCTTTTTAATTCAACATTTCAAATGAAGATATTTAAGCAGCCTAGCCCTGCTTTCTGATGTACACAGAGAGAAAAATCAGCAAGACAATGCCCAGTTCCTACCGATGGGATTCTGAAGTCAAACACTGACATCTTCTGTGCCCACAAATCAAATACAGCCATGGAATCCAACTTGCACAAGCCAAGATGATTTGCCAAATGGAAAAGTGAGATTTATGACAAGGAGCTGCAACTTCTGCCACCACTCTGGCTCCTGCTCAGTGTTTGAACAGGGTCTAGAGGCCCTCCAAGCACAAGCACTGGTCCAAAGAGCTGCACTGGCACTGCAATTCCCTCAGCCAGGTACAACAAGGGACATCTGAAAGGCCCTGAGTGTCTCCCAGAATATATCTGATATCATTCATCCCCAGCAACACTAACAGGAGCATAATAATATAATAAAGCTTGAGATACTGCCCTTAAATCACTGGCAGTCAGATCTTACCTTTATGGCTCTAATTCCTTGTATTTTGTGGTTTACATCTGTCCCTCAGGATGTGCTCCTGGTCTCCTTGGCCTAACCTAGCAGAGTTACTCTCCAAATGCCATTGCTTTTATACTCCAGGTAACAGCAGGGACGAGGAGTTTGTCTGACATAGATAAGGAGACATTTTTACTCCAGTCTCTGGACAGTCATGGAATAATTTAGGCCAGAGGGGACCTGTGGAGGTCGTTGCTCCAAGCTCCACACAGAGCCCACGTGAGAACAGGTTGTTCATCTGTCACAGCCCCTGTCCCTGCACATCTCCAGGGGCTGGAGTCCAGCTCTGACATCAGTGCCCTGCCTGCTCCCCTCTCCCTCAGAGCATTTTGGTTCCCCTGCTTTGCTCCATGGTCAGAAAACCTCAGCAACACAGCCAAATCCTTGCATTTTAAATCCTCCTTGGGAATAAGCCCCTTCACCTTTCTCTGGAAGCCACTTACAAGCTTAAAAGGTTGCAATATTATTAACTAAAGTCTTGATATCCTTAAATTAGAGAGCATCTAGAAAACTAGACACCTAAGAGTTTTACTTAGGAAAAACCTTACAGATTATTACAATACATAATATTTAAGGCAGAGACCACAGAGAAGGGAATTTCAATAGTACTGGAACCAAAACATGGTGACCATGTTTGTATTTTGCTATATTCCACACAGGGAAAAGTAAATTTCCACACAAGGCCAGTATTGTGAGTAAAAGAAATACTCCCAGGAACTCTGAGGGACAGAATAAAGAGTAAACAAACCTGCCCCATCATTTATAAAAGAAGAGGTGTGCATCATTACAGATGAATCATTCCATGAAATAATTTTCTGGGAAAGACAAGGAAAAACAAGGAGCAGCATTTCCCAAAGCACAGACCTCACCACAACTTTCCCACCCCACCGCCCTACTCCAGCGCTGGAGTGGAGCAAAAACTTGTTTTTAAAAACTGTAAAGCTACAAGATAACACAGTAACTCACTAAAGAAACATCACACACCGCTCTGGTAACAAAAAGCAACAAAAGTCCAAAGTCAAAGGGTGTGAAGTGCCCGTGCCAAGCACAGAGGTTGCTCCCCAGCTGCAGCCCTGGAGGATGCCCAGGCACAGCCCTGTGCCAGGGGCAGCAGCTCAGCTCCAGAGCAGGACCAGAAGCAGCTCAGCAGAGCAAACATTAACTCCTGAGCTGGCTCGTGTTGGACTTTAGCTGCACAATAAACTGCTCACCATTTCAAAGGTTACACACTTGGTTTGTACACAGCTCTTGTCATACCAAGCAATCGTTCCAAGCACATCCCTGCATCCAGGACCTTCTAGAAGACTGAATGGAAGGAGCCAATTCCAGGTTTTGTGCCCGATTTTGTTTTGACGTATTACAGATTTCACAGAATTCACAAAACCACTGGGTTGGAAGAGACTTTTAAGATCACTGAGTCCAACCCAGCCTCAACACTTCACCTAACCCTGGCCCCCAGTGCCACATCCAGGCTCTGTTAAACACCCCCAGGGATGGTGACTGCACCACCTCCCTGGGCAGCCATTCCAGAACTTTATCCCCCTTTCTGTAAAAACTTTTTCCTAATATCCAACCTATATTTCCCTTGATGCAGCTTGAGGCTGTGTCCTCTGGTTCTGTCAGTGCTGCCTGGTGCAGCAATGCCATGGAAGGTGCTGAAATTGCAGGAATACCAAAGTAACACAAATCTTGTGTTTGGATGGAGAGGTTTCCATTCTCTGCAGTCAGGTGCTTCATTTAGGATGGATGAAGCTTCATTCAGGATCAGCTGTGCTGACCACCAAGTTAAGAGCAGCTTTCCATGCAAGAGCTTGCCCCAGGATGTAATTCCTGGAAGCTCTCCTCCCTTAGGTTATTGCAGAACCAGAGAGCTCTTAGCTGAGTGTGTTATGTGGAGAAAGTGCAAGCTTTGAGATGGAAATCACAATTAAAACTCCAATTTTTGCTCACCAGACCACCTGCTCTGAGTGAAGTGCACCTTGCCACAGAAAGGGAAGGTAAAAGAAGCTGTCAGTTCAAGAAACCCTCATTTCAGAACATTATTCAAATTCATGCAAAAAAAACCAGCAGTAAGTGTTCTCTGACTTTCTGAAGTCTATTTAGTCACTCCCCTCCCCCCATTTTAGTGGTGGAGAGAAGCAAACATGACATCTGCTCACATCTGCCAACTATTTTTCTTCTTAATTCAAATTGTTGTTTCTCGACATGAGAAAACCCCTCCCACTTAATAGAAAATTGTACACAGCAAACCATTCATTACAGGAGGGGGAGAGGAAGAGGCACTTTTGTCCTCTAATTTTTCTTAAACAATAAATTCAAATATTCAATCTGATAATGCTAACAAACCAAAAGGAGTTGCTGACTCATTTTCAAAAGGTGCTAAGCCACAATTTCACTTTGGACAAGTGTTATCCACAGAAGTGCTCTGGCAACCTGAAGGTTACAAGTACTTTATTTTTGATGAGTTCTCTCAGCTGTCCAAAGCACTCAACTCTTAAAAATAAGCACACTTACTTTATGTCAATCCATTAAACAATTTATACTCATATCCCACTGCTCCCTCTCTCTTTACATCACATATTAGACAGAGTTTTCCTCAAATGAAGCTAAAAATGATCAGGGAATGAAGAATTCATGGAAACAATGGTCAGGAAAAAGCAATTTGCATACTACACATAAACAAACGTTTTCAGTCAGCACCTTCTCAACATTACCAATTTTATTGGAGGCCTTCAGAACTTTTATGCTCTCCTTTCCATTCTTCCCACAGTTCACCTGAACCAGTAAAGTTCATTTTTACTGATTATGCCCTTCTGTCTGTGTGGTGCTCTTGGAGGAGTAAAGAAAAAATTTAAAGCATCCTCCAAATATAAAACTCTTGCAAGCTGGAGTGAATTCTGAATAAGGAGTATCTTTAAACATTATAATTTAATTCATGTCAAGTTTTTGTTATTCACAGATATTTAGCCAAATGTATTAGTCAAAGATTTCTAAGAAGGAATACATAGATGGAGATGAATCTATATTACAACAGATAAATATACAGCCTTGAAAATGCCATTTTAACAAGACTTAAGGACATGAATTTCCCTCCTTCCTTTGACACACAGGACACCAGTAAACACCAGTTCTTGCACAGGTTGAGTGTTTATCACACCATAAAAAATATCTCCTTAGTGCTCAATGAATCTCTAAAATAAACTATGCAAAGAAACAAAGGCTCCACTTTGGACTACAACTCCCCCCAGTTACTTCAATTACACAGGGGAAAAATCCATCCTTTCATAGCAGGATTGAGACTTGTCTTTTGGAAGCATTTCTTACCTCACAGGTTCCCTTTTTGCCTTTATATGACTGTTCCAGCTATAAAAACACTGACACAAACCTGATTTATACAATTAAACTTCCTATATAAACCTCAGATTCCAAGGGAAGTAAACAAACAGAGTAGTGTGAAATTACTGCTCTACACAATAATGTAATATGATATAACAGAAACACTTAGAGTAGAAGTTGCTATTTAAAACCCCAGATTTTTGAATTAAAATACTTTAAACTGCTCAAAGTGAGAATTACCCAGCAAAGCTACTGAAATACTCTTTTGAGTGAGAAGCAATAGATTTTAGAGGGAAAAAAAGGAAAACAATACCATTTTAAAATACCAATATAAGAATCTGAGTAAGGCACCTGAAGTTTGTTCCTGTTAGAGTGGTGTGTGTTATCTACACTCACTGAACAGAATCTGCACCCAGGACTCTGGACACCCAAACTGTCCAAAATTGCAGAGTGAAAGCATTCAGCACCATTCCAGGTTAGTTTTTGTGCTGCTTGGCTTTTACCAGTACCACGCACAGGGGTTTTAGGCTCTCTACCCAGCAGGATCTTTTCTAAATCCTGACAGTTTCAAAGCAGAACCTTTCTGTAAGAGTGTAGCCATGGCAGTTTATAAAGATAACAAGGTAACTGCTCTCCCTCACCATTTGTTGGATGTAAGTTTGGCTACAAAACCACAAAAAAAGCTGAAAAACTTCCCAGCTAAACGATCCAATATCCTCCACCACACTAAATAATTCCATATTCAGGTAGATGTAGCAGTGGAAGTAAAATATTTCACTGTTCTGATTTATCCAGGTCACTTTGCACGTGACATTGTACACACAACCAACATGACAATGCCAAATCCTCACTGGCTGTGACAAAGCATTTTTCACCTGACTCCACAGATATTTCACGTGCACGTTGGTCAAGGAAAAATGGGGAGGGAAAAGTTAAATCTTTGTCACCTTTGAGCTCACAGCAAGTCACAGAAGTTTGATCAAACTGCTTCAGTAATTTTTGCATAATGCTTATCAGCAGTTTTGCTTAAGTGGCTACATCTCTAACATGGAGGACTAAAGAAATGCTGAAGCATCAATGCAGCAAGAGCACTTGGAATGCCTCTCCTGCCTGACACAGAACACACAGATCCCTCCCTGACAAGGGGCTGCCGCTCACCGTGCTCACATCAGGTGCAAAATGTTTTTAAAAGCACCCTTGCCCTTTTTTGTTGTTGTTTTTTTTAGGTGTATTTTGTAGGAGTTAAATGATCTTAGGGAGCAATTGTTATTTTAAAAAGGCATCACTGGCTGAACTCTTTTCCAAGCTGCTTTTGCCAACTCCTTGCAACTGGCAGGGTTTGCAGCCCCTTGGAATGATAACTGGCTCATCCTCTGGTTTCATTGTCCTGGAGTAATGAGACACTCAGTGCTGACATCAGCACAATCTCACTGATTTTTTGGGGACAGGGATTTCATCTATAATGCACATGCATTGAAAACTGCACAACACATATTAGTCTTTGCTGCCATGACTGTTTTTACCACCCAGACAAACATCAGGATTCTCCCAAGCTCTCCTCCAACCGGCATTATTTTTATACATCTCCCCCTCACAGAAGCATGAGCAAGATTGTTCAGCAAACAAAAACTGATTATCTTGATATATGACAGACAACTCTTTAATTTTTAAAGTAAATTAACCAAATTTAATAGACACCAGAATGAAAAAGATACATCTTGCAGCTCACCATTTAAAAGATGCAATTTGAAGGTCAAAGCCATATAGCTGCATTCCCCTATCCCAGCATTAATCAAATTGTAACCATTTCCTTGGGACTATGTCTTGTACATAATTCATACCCAACTGTTCTCAGGTTTAAAATCATCTACTGCCAATTTAAAAGAAAATAATCCAAGAGCAGAAGTCGCCACATGAAAATAAGAAAGAACCTTTCTAATAAAATAACTGCTGATCAGAGCTGTGAGAGACCATTGCCTGCTGAAATTGGAAGAGATGTCCTACTTTAGGGTTTGAGTTGCAAGAATTACTATAATCAAGCCTCACTGTCAGAACAAAAACATAACCTTTGAGGTTGTTAGAGGCTAAAATAACATTTCACTAACTTCTGTCTGCCTCTAGCTACGTTGGGTTAGAAATAGACCTCTGGTTTTTTGGCTGTATGTACAGTAAGTAGGTTCCTAGGGAAGGGAAAAAAATAAATGATTGAGTGAAGTCAATATTCCTGATCAATCAGCATCTCTGAACAAGTCTCCTTTTGACATGCCCCCGGGCAACAACAATCCCTGACCATCAACAAGACACTTATCCAAGGCTTGGAAGGAGAACTCTGACACAGCCACGAGCAGGATTCAAACGTGACTCCAGGGCAGAGAGTGAACTTCTAGAATGTACAGCTGAACACAGAGATAGCATTTATTTCTTCAATCTGATATGCATAGATGTACATTCACAACCCTCTACATCCCCTGCTGAAGGCATCTTGGGAAGGGGACAAAAGGGCTCTGGAAGGCTGACATATTTCAAATCCCCCAGGGCTGATAACCAAGATGTGTTCCAGTCACTGAACACCCATTGTTCACTGAAACTACACATCACCAAAAAAGTCAGAATCCGTCAAAATACCAAGCTCTCCTTAACAGGCAGAGAGTATCAGACCAAAGGGAGCCAGCATCAAGAGTTACTAAAGTGGCTCTGGCACATTTCTAACCAGGGCTCTCTCAAGGGCCACTTCTCCAGGAGAAATCTGTCCAAAGGCACTAAGGGACAAACTGCCCCCAGATTCCTCCCTCTCCCCATCCTCCAGGACAATCCTTCACCTATCCAGCAGCAAACTTCTAAATAGGCAGCACCTCAACCTCCAGCAGCAAACAATTTCCAATCAATTTTGCAGGTAACAAGCCTGTGCTAAGAAGCCATTTATCATTCCCATTGAAAATGTAACAAGCAGTCATTGGGAGAACAAGGCACTGTGAATTACCAGGAGAAATTGTCCACCGATGAAAAAATCCATTAGGCTACGACAAAGGTCAGATAACATTGTTTGGGTTCAGCCATAATTCTCTCTTCTATGAGATCCACGTGAAGATTTTGTGGAACAGCAAAGAGAAAAAGTGCAGCTGTGGGCACCCCTCAGCCAGCTCCTCTGTGATGCAGAGGAGGATCTGTACCAACTTCTGGCACGAGAGCCTCACACACAAATTCTCTTTTTTATTCAAGGAGGACAAAACCCCCTCTGCAGAGCCCAAGGTGACAGACACAGGTGACAGCCTCAGGAGTAGCAGCATTCCACAGAACACGTGTGGAACAGCTCTGGGGAAGCACAGGCACCCACAGGTGACCTGAACCAAGAAAACACCCAAAGACACGGCTGGGAGACTCTAATCCTCCACTAGCTCTCCCTTATACCCTAAGAGAGGTTAAGAGTTGGTAAGTCCCTGGGATGATACCTGCTTATCTACCTGTGCAAAAGGGTAATTCTGGACAAGCACAAACAAGGTGCTGAGCTGGAACTCCAGCTACAAAGCACTGCTGTTTCCAAATGACCTTCTGTGATAAATCACCAGCAGTCAGATTCAAGAGGTGGCAAAGAAAGTTGCTCAAACAAATAATTTTAGTGGTTAGCAGCACAAAATTGCACTTTGCAAATGGCTTAAATTTCACTGGATTTCCCATTCTAAATGTGTTTGTCTCAATGTAATCCCACAGCCAGGAGCACACAAAATTCACACAGGTCCTTCCACACAAGTGTTGGTCTTGGCTCAGGGCAGGCCCAGGCCAAAAGCACCCAGCACTGGGTCTAAGTTACATCTCAGCCACACAAAGGATGTTCCCTGCAGGTCAAAACTGAGGTTATTTATAGGTCATAATAAGGAAGCCTTAAATGCACTAAAATATCAAGCAAACTCCAGTGTAAGTGCCATTTAAAATGCAAAGTCTGTAGTTCCAGGACAGACAGGAATAGGAACAGCAGCCCAATCTTTGAAGTCAACTATTCAAAGAAATAAACATCATTTCAGTGCGTCAATTGTTTTTCAGATCACAGTATTTTTGTATGAAAATTCCACACATTATTAAATTGTTTCAAGTCAACTTCCTCAGTGGCACTTTAAACTCCTGTTTGTTCTCCAGCTTATCCACACACACACAGGCAGCATTAACAATTTCTGGTTACCAGGTCACCAAACCTTGGTCTCATTTTACACTTCAGTAATCTGAATACTGCACATTATTTGAGAGGACATTAGAGTGATGTGTTTGTTGGGGTTTTTTTTCCCTAGAATTAGTTTAGTCTCACCTTTAGACTCACCCAATTTAAATATCTAACTTCGTCACCTTGCTGATAAGCAGCTGGAAACCATCTACGTGGGGAATTGAGCTCAACAAGCAAACATTTCCAAAGGAAGGTGCCAAATTTGAAGTACAACATTATTGAGAAATACAAATATTGTCAGTCTTTCAAAAGGCTGGGTTTGAAAGCAGGTTCAGGGCACCAGGAAAAGGGGGGAGAGGAATCATAAAAACTGAGGGTTTACAAATTTTGCGTGGAAGCAGCTGGTTAGTTCCTGGTGCCTCCTTCTGAGAGCTTCTCACTGATGGTGTGAATTCCAACCAAAACAACTCCAAACGGTTCAAGAGCTGCCCAGATCTCGACACTTCTTATTACATAATAAAATGAGCTTTACTATTTGAATTTGAAAATTCTAATTGCCCAACAAAAGGGATCTTATCAAAACATGTTTAAGACATCACTTGTGAATCACAGGCACAGCTTTCAGCACAGCTTTCTCATGAGGAAGCTGCCAAAACTCATAGGCTTGTGTTTTGGTTTTTTTCAAGGGAACAAGCAGGGAGCAAAACCCTTGTTTCTCAAAAATCCAGCAGTCCAAGGCGAGCTGCACACAGAGCAGATGCTCGATCACTGCTGCAATAATTCAGTGAGGGTTACAACAACAAATTTATATTTTCTGGAGACAACACTCCACCCGGTGCAGCTGGCAGAAGCCGGCCCTGAGCACCAGCGACCAAAGGAAGGTGGGAGCGAGCTCCTACCTGAGAGATCGTGGTGGATCAGGTCAGCAAAGTTGGGGTCATCCCCCCACCAGAATATCCAGAGCTCCCTGCGGCCGGGCCGCTGGTCCCGGCGCCAGACGCTGAGCACGTCGGCCTTGAGGCAGCGGCTGAAGCTGCTCAGGATGGGATCCTCCTCCGTCACCGGGAACAGGATGGGGGCAGACGTCGGGCCCTGCCACACGTAGCGCTTCCATTTAATCCCAGTCAGATCAGCCTGGCAAAGACAGAGAGGAGCTGTCAGGAAAAAAAAGAACAGGCGCCTCCAGGGAGAGCATGCTGCTTGCAGGTGATGGCGCGGGGAGAAAGGGATCCCTCAGGGTTGAATGGGAGCTGTGTCGGTTGGTTTTGTGTGATTTGGTGTGATATAAATTGGGAACAATCAGGGATCCTGGTCTAATAGCTCATTAGGTAACTGCAGTAAAGCGAGAGCTGTTTGTTTTCACTGCAGCTTTAAGGTTACACAGAGAAAAATCAGATTTGATTTAAAGCAAAAGAGTGAAAGACGAGTGAGTAATGTTATTATTCACAGGCTGACACAGTCCAATCTCTAAACACTTGCCTTAGCAAAGAACATCTTTCTTTTTGCTTACTTATGCATACACTGCCTTTTCCATTCAGGATTACTCCATGGAAATAGGTGATACACCAAATCACACATTCTTCCAGCCATCTACCACTTGGGAAAATTTCACAAGTTTCTCCATGGTAAAAAATTCTGTGTCTCCCTCAGGAAATCTCTCGTCTTCACTGATTTTACCAAGAGCTATCATACTTTTCATTCCTCACACCACATTTCAATGATTTAAATCCTCGTTTTATCATTCAATTATATGTTAGACCTGCAACCACGTTGATAATGATCCACTAAACCCCTTCCTAGGCAAAAATTAATTTGACTTTACACAGGGAAAGAGCTACTACTCTGTGTAATGAGAAGAAGACAATTCCTGGATTATCTCCACCACAACACCAAGTTTTAGCACTCATTTTTTTCACTCGAGCACAGGCACCTCAAGGCAGGTAGGGGAGGCATTGCCCCGGGTTTCTCTTTGGGAAGGCAGAGCCAGGCAGGCTGGCATTTGCTAAGAAGTTACAATTTTTTGTCTTCCCAATCTGACAACACACAAAAGATTACTGCAACATTTAAACCTAACATGGCACCCTCCGTACCTTCAGCAGGAGAGCAATTTAGATGAAAGGTTGTCTGCAACAGTTGCTACTTTAGAAAGACTTTCAGATTTAAAATTGTACTGTTAATCTGGAGCTGCAGGCCTGATGCAGGCTGCAGACACAGTCAGGCTGTCCAGATTCCCCTCCATCCAAAAATATGAGTGCCACAGATTGGCACAGGATTGTTGTAACAATCTCTAGAATCATAAATATCAGGCAGACAGCTAAGATTAGCTCATTTGCATTAAAAGCTGATGAAACAGCTCAGCACAGACACCAAAAAATTGCATCACAGTCCAGTTATATCGAATTCACTTTTGGAGCTACCAAAATTCAACAACATGAACGATTTGATACTTGGGTTAAAAAAAAAGACTACAAAATGGTGCACATCAAAACACAAGACAGGCAGGGCATCACCGAAAGCAGCCCTCCAGAATAAAAACAAGCAGCGAAAGGGATCCGTTTAAAAGCGAGCAAGAAGGGAGGTTTCGCCTCGGATTTGCCTGGGATGTCACGAGTGAGGAGGGAAAAGAGAAAGTTCCCCGAGATGTGGGGCCGGGAGCAGCAGCAGCTCCCTTCCCCTGCGAGGAACACCACGCTCAGAGGCAGGGATGGGGGAGAAAGGAGGAAAAGTTGGACGGCACGGAAAGGGAAGGAAAAGGCGAGCTGCGGGGAGGCCACTAGCCAGGAAGAAAGCGGAGGGAGGGGCGAGGCGAGACAGACAGCGATGGAAGGGAACCAGAGGGGCATGGGAGAGTTGGCTGCTCCAGGCAGGGCCTACTCCGAGGGCTCATCCAGCAGAAGCTCTGCTAAAAATGGCTGCTTTGCTTTCCACTGCCCCTTCCCCCTCCCCCGGAGCTCCCAGCCCTTCCCTCGGTGGCCCCGGGCGGGTGTGCGCCGGGGGCCGACACTCACCAGGCAGAAGAGGTTGGAATGGCAATCCTCCAGGCTGGCCCCGTTCGGCACGAAGCAGGAACTCATCCTCACAGCCACAACCCACACGCCATTATCCCACAGCCTCCGACAAGAAAGAAAGAGACAGACAGAGAGAGAGAGAGGGAGAGGGAGAGAGGGAGAGACAGACAGCGAGAGGGAAAGGGGGAGGGGGGCTCTGCACACGCACAAATAATAATACAATTAAATAAGGGATTTACAGACACACGCACGCGAAATAGTGGCAGGGGGGATAACCCGCGAGGAGAGACAGAGAGGTATGGGAGAGGGGGGTAAAAATATATATTTAAAAAAAAAAAATTAAAGAGGAACTCAGAACGTTTTCTCGTCTTCTGGAGCTCAATCGGGGGTGTAAAGCCGCCGTGGAAGGGGAGAACAGAAAGAGGGAGGTGGTAAGTAATCCAACGACGGGAGATTAAGATCAAAATCCTCCCTGTTCCTCTTGTCTTCTCGTTCGCATAAGGAGGGGAGGGAGAGGAGGTAAGGTGAAGGGGTAATTGATCCAACAAGAGAATAAAAATGGGGTAATTAATCCAGGGGGCTAGGGGTAAAAATCAGTTGACATCCCTCCTTCCTCTCTTCTCAGATGCCAAGCGAGAGAAGCAGGAAAAAAATAAATAATCCAGCGGGGGCAATTAATCCAGAACCCCCCCTCCTCTTCCTCCTGTTCCTTTAGTCATCAGATGAGAAAGGGGCAAATTGTGGAATGACTGGGAAGGATTGGCCGTGGGAGAGAGAAAAATCCAGGCTCGTCTCTTCGGAGTCCGAGGGCAACAGGGTGTGGGGGGGTCAGATTCTTCTCCCCTGCTCCAAAAATATTCCGAATAAATTAAAATTTAAAATCATAAAAACAAACTTCAGGGGCCAGCAGCAAGGCCAGTCTGAAGAATTCGCAAAGGCAGAGCAAGAAAAATTTCCTGGGGTGTACCCCAAAAAAACATCTGCGGGGGCAGGGGAGGGGGGAAGGTATTCCTTGAGAGAGAAAGGCCGCAAAAGTCTCCTTAGCAGCCCAGCGGGGGATTAAATTCCCGTGTGGAAACCCCCCCTCCCCAAAACGAAATACTCTTCGCAGCGAGGGCGAAACCAAAATATCCTCCGATGGGTAAAAAATTCCTTCCGTGGGGAAAGGAGGGAGGGGGAGAAGGGTGGAAAGAGGAAATTGCGGGTGACCCTCGAAGTCTCTTCGGGGAAGGATGGAGGAGTCTCCGGGAGGCCGATCCCCAGCCTTTTCGGGGGAGGAGGAATCGCAGAGCGTCTTCGGGGAGCCTGGTCCTGCCCAGCTGTCCTGGGGGGCCGGGGGACCCCGCGAAGTCTCTTGAGGGGAGCGCGGAGCCCGCCGAGTCACGGCGGCGAGGGGGAAGCGACCCCCGCCAGAGCCGGGGGGGCGGCGAGGCGGGACCAGCTCAGCTGCGAGGCCGGTCCTTTAAAAAAAAAGGAGAAAAAAAAAAAAAAAGAAAACAAAAAAAAAGCCCCAACAAAACAGAAGGGGGAAGAAAAAAAAAAAGCGCGGGGGGGGGATATAAAAAACGATCGTCTTCGGCCGGAGCGGTCTGTCCTGGGGGAGCCCCGAGACCGCTCGCTGCCCTCAGGTGCGGGTCCCCGCGGGGGCGGTGGGCGGAGGGCCCCCTCCCCGAGGCTCCTGAGCAGGGCGGGGAGGCGGCGGCCGAGCCCCGGGCTCTGCTCAGCCCGAAGGGGTCGGAGCCCCGCAATTCCCGGCGCCGCCGACACACACAGGGACGCGGCGGCCGCCGCCGCTGCTGCCGCTGGCGGAGTCGGTGCCGCGAAGCCCCCGTCGGCGCGTCGCCTCCCCTCAGCGGTGCCTCTGTCGGCGGCTGCCCGGCCGCGGCATCCTGTGGCGGCGGGAGCCTCAGCGCGGGTCCCCCATGGCCGGAGCGGGAGCGGATCCGGCTCCCGGGTAATTCCGAGACCCTTTTTCTTTAATGGCGGCCACAGGGACGGCGGTCGGGGCCCCCCTACCGCGCTCCCATTGGCCGCCGCGCCGTCACGTGGGCGCTCACCGCCATGGCCGCCGGCGCCGCTGGGGGAAGGCGGGTGCGGCGGCGGCGCGCGGCCGCCAGGGGCGTCCGGGGCGCTGCGGAGCCCCCGCCTTGCTCGTTGGGGCGGCGCCATCTAGCGGCCTCGCCCGGCGGCGGCGGGGCCGCGGGTTCGAGTCCCGGCCCGGCCGGGCCCGCGGTTCCCGGGGTGGGTCGGGGTTGGAAGGACCGCAGTGGGACAGCCCGGAGCACAGGAACGTGTCTGGGATATTGGCACGAGGGAGGCTCCGCGAGCTCTCTGGGTACCGGGCTCCAGTGCTCCTTGGACAAGTTCAGGTGGGGCTTGCTGGGCATCAGTCGCTGCCCCATGTCCTGGGGGTTGGAAGCATGGAGCAGAGCCTGGTGTGTCTTTTGGCACCCCCATTTCGATATTTACACATATAAATGTGTAAATATTTATATTTATACATACAAATATGTGTAAATATACATTTATATTTACATAAATTTATGTATTAAATATATAATACATCCTTCCCTTATCCCTGCCAGGCTCCTGTCCATTCCCGGGCTGATCCCAGGCCACAAGGCTGGACTCAGCAGTCCCTGTGGAAATCCTGGGGTTCTGTGCCCACCCCAGGGCACCTCCGGTCAGGCCGGGCCAAAGTCCGGGCACAGAGCGTGCCCCAGCCCAGGGAACACTCGCCTTGGCTCCCCTTCCACAGCTTCCACCTCTTGGCAGAGGATTCCCGAGATTTGCGCCACGGAGCAAATTCCAAAGTGAGGATCTCGGGGCCTTTCTGAAAAGATAGGCAGGAATTGTGAAAGCTGACTTTAATATTTAATGCAAGCGTTAATGCTCTCACTAGGCCCACAGACAGCCTCTCTGCCAATGCAGAGCCCTACTCCAAACCCCATTTTTTCCATGCCCAGATCCATATTGTGCAGTTCAAGAGGATGAAGTAGGTGGCTTCTCTGTTACTACATGCACAGATTTGCAGAAGGACTGTGAGATTATTCAGAATTAAGATGCTACAGTGACAGTGAAAGCTATTTTTAAGAGATGTTTGGAAAGTGTATGCATCTTACTAATCCTCTCATATTACACATTAATTTTCTAGGCAATGCCTTGCATGTAAAATGGAAAATTTTAAATTACTATATGCAGAATTTTTACTGCAGTGTTCAAGTGCAAACACAAACCAGTGTAAAGCACCCAAAGTAAAAGAAAGCCCTGAATGTCTCAGCTAACCTGACATTCACATTAAAATATGATATGTTCATGCAACAGCAGCACGTTGATCACAACTATGCAACACGATGATGTTTCAAAGGCCCTGCAAATTATTTCAGGACTCCTGAACAAGACGAGCGACAACCTTCTGCAAATGTCTTGATAGAGTAGGAGGAAAGAAGGACACTCTATAAATAAACTTATATGATAAGTTAAAAAAAAAAGAAGTGAGGCTAGATATATTCACCAAGAGAAACTTTGAAGATTTACTCACACTGAGCCTATTTTTGTATGCCAGTGTAGGCAAGCAAGATTCTTCTTTTCATCTAAATAGAAGCAGAGTATTTTTAAACGCAGGAGATTCATTCCCTCGGTGCTCATGGCAGCACGGCAGCTGGGGCCGGGGCCGGGATGCGGGGGGAGGGCTCCGGGGGAAGCAAGCCCCTTTCCAAGGGGAACAGATGGTTTTCCCCGGGCTGGCTGCAGCCCAGGGCTGTGAGGAGCATTCCTGGGTGCCCAGGGCCAGCCCGAGCCCCTCGGATGTCCCGGCCATGCCACCGCCATGTCCCTGCTGGAGTCACTCCCCCCAGGAGGAATCCAGGGATGTGAAGGACATCAGGGAAAGCAGAATTCTGCACTGAGCACACACACACGGAGCTCATATGAGTTTATCACTAAGAGCAAAAGGAATCCTTTGGTAAAAGGGATTTGGTAGATTTGGATATCCAGGACAATGGTTCTTGCAAGTCTGAATAGATTTCAGGAGCGTTTTCCCATTTCTTTTCCCTCAAACAGCACAGCTCAGTGTCTGGAAGAGAGGATTAGTGTCTAACACTGGCTTTGGTGTGGCTGCACCTCCCAGTTTTGAGGACCTCAGCTCCTGTGCCTCTGCTCACTTCTCTGTACAATGCATTTTGGGATCTGGTTCATCAGTCCTGACATCACAAAAAATCCTTCTACAGGATCCCAGCACAAGTGCAGAACATCATTTGTCCACTAAACCTAAACACAGCATAAGGAGCTGATAAAATATCCACATAGAGGGAAGAAAACTACCACATCAACTAGGGAATTCTGAACTCGAAATTCTCCCTGGCTCAGAACCTTGAAGCTTTCCCAATTCCATGTCCAGCACCTCAGAACAGCAAGACACAATGGAGAACAATCACATCCATGGCTGGTGAATCCTGCACCTGAGACACTGCTTGCCCTCTGTGCTCTTTGGGAAATAAAGCCTCCTGGAAAACAGAGAGGAGGCAGATTAAAAAAGAATTGAGGAAAAAATGCTGTTGAAAATGTGCTTTGTTTTGTAGATAGGTTCTTATAGAGTTCTCATCTCTGCAACTTCCAGAAGTGCATTAAGCTGCATAATTAGCATCTGTCACATGAAGCTTTTTCCTTCCCTCTTCCTCTCCCTAGAGGGAACCTGCATAAAGAAATTTTAATATAAATTTTAGTATCTACTCTGCACAGTGCAATCATATTAGGGAAGCTACAGGCAAGCCAGTTTGTGCTCAGTCTAAGGCTTATCTTTGTGTAATAGAAACTTTACCAGGTTTTCTAAAAAAAATGTTGCTGATCCAATTTAAAAATTAACCAGTCTCTTGGAAAGACAACAGGGGTGGGGGAGAGATGGTTCCCATTGCATCAGATTTAAACCAGTGGGATTGTCAGGAACTGGGCAGTTAAAACCAGTTCTGGAATTAAATCCCTACAATCTTACATGGAAATATCCAGCCAAAAGGAGGAAGGGATGGGTGATTTCCTCTTCTAGTCAAAAGCATTTATTTTGAAAGGAATAGTTCTATTTTTTAAACATCTAAACAAAGTAGGATTCATGTTGCTTTTTCCTTCACATCAAGAGACACTCTAGTGCTGAATATAAAAGTCAATGGATTACAGCATCTCCTGGTGAATCTCTGCAGGCAAAAGAAGATGCTGCCTTTTAGAAATAAAGATTCAATAGAAATAAATGCAGCTTAACAATAGCAACATGACAAACAACTCTATTATTCAGCCTCTGATTTCCATTCAGACTGTCTCCTAATTTTTTGAAGTATTTATTTTCTACTTAATTATTCCAAGAAAATTGAGATTATAGGATTGAACATACTGCCAACAACCTGAGGTATGGAGTGCAGAGTGAGTGCTTAAACTTCAGCTGCAGAGGTGGTAATTATTGTAATTGGTGCATGTGAAGCAAATATATCAAGTAGTGTAGAGTTCAAACTCGTGCCAGTCAGTCTCCAGTTGGCACCAACATTTCTGTCAGGAGGATACAGAGGTCTCAGCAGGACTTATTACTGGCAACTGTTCAACAGTTCTCTTCTCCAAATGGTTTCAAGGGGATTTGGGTGGGAAGAAAGATAATTTTTAACAAATTAAACTACCTAAAAATGGCGAGCTGCCCAGAGCCACCTAGTCTGCCTTAGTCACTACTACCAAACCATTTTAAAAAAGAAGATTAAAAATATCACTGCTGGCAAAATTGCCTACCTGGCTTTAACAACTTAATCAGATCCCTGCAAAATTACCCAAACATGTGCAGCACACCATCCTACAAGTGTGTGTAAAATATGTCCAGAGTAAAAGGTAGAGCAGAATATTCACTCAGTGTGTGTTTCTCAGAAAACAACCTTGAGTTACCAGAATCCAAATATCCCAATAAGGACATATCCTATAGTTAAAAAAAAAAAAATTACAATCACTTTTTAATTGAAATTTAGAAAGATTAGGAGGAATGGTTATTTCCCATTAGTATTTCTCTCACAGCACTGGGAAGGTGTAAAGCAGAGTTCAGCTTTGCACTGTGAGCTCTCACAGGAGCCTCTGCCCTGTGCCAGATTGATGTCCAGCTGCTTTGTTTAGACCTTGCTAAAATGCCTTTTTCAAATGGTGGATTTGTCATTTCTAGCAGAGGTCTCCAAGAGAAGATTTGAGTTTAATGCACAGCAATAAAAAGAGGAATATGAGAATTCTTGCTCTCTTTAGTGTCAGCTTTGGTTAAGACGTATGAATGCACATGAATAGTCTTGTCAGAATCTCTGGGGCTACTGACATTCAAGATCTAACATATTATTACTTCTGACCAGAACATTAGCTGCTGAGCAGGAAGGAGAAGGGGAAGAGAAGAAAGGGATGAAGACAGGACCACTCCCTAATCAGACAGAAATTGTTATGGATTTCTGTGGCTGGAAACCTCTGAGCAGAACTTTTCTGCTGTGAAAATACAATGCTCACATTTTCTGATTGTACAGCCTCTTTAAAATCTCAGCAGGAAAAACAAAACCCAGCATATTTTAATGCTTGATCTTGCTCATTTTACTCGTGGAAGGGATCCTAATTAACCTATAAATAATGACTGCACAACCAAGTATTACATCCTTGTAAAGGACATGTGCTAAGGAAGGCTTGAGCATTTTAAGCTGCTGACTCTATTTTTTACCATTCCTTTGAATCACTATTTTCAGACACAGATAAACTAATTAATTTAGTTAAAATAAGGTAATTTTCATTCCAATCTCAGTATATATCAAATCTGGATACCACTACAATGGAAAGATTTGTTCACCAGATGCAAAAATCTTCCAATGTCCTCCTGGCTGAATGAAAACATATTTCAGATACTTTGAGTTGTTATTGTTCATAATTCATTTCTAAATAAATTGAAAATATTCAGATATTGGTTTAACCAGTATATTTGTGCTCTGAAATTGGAGCTGAAGGACTACAACCTAAGGGAATACCCTGCCCTTTGTGACTGAAACCACCTTTAGAATCCATTCAGGAGCTCCAGCTCCTCAGACAAAGGCCTGGATTTGTTTGGAGCAATAAATGATAGAGACCTTTACATATTTGAAGTGCAACAGATGGTCCTCCAAGGAGAACATAATGACTGGCAGACAGCACTTCGTTAGAGTGGCTTGGAATGTCTTCAGCAATTACACAGGCAGTGTTTTGGGGGGAAGCCCTGCCATCTCTGTGATTCTTCCCATGGAAATTGCTGTGATTTCCTTGTTTAGATGTTAAAAAATGGTATCTTCTAAAATCCAGGCAGGGAACTGGAAAAGGAACCACCTTTGGCCCTCCCAAGGCTGCTCAAGATGAGGCTCCACCTGAGAAGAGAGATGTGAGTAGAAAAAAAATTAAATCAGCATGAACAAGAAAGAACTTTGGGCACATAACTGTAAAACTGTTAATCCATAGCCAAGTATTCCATGGAAGTGTCATTCAGGAAAAAAGCCAAGGTTTAGCACAAGGCCCAGCAGACTTTTAGAAATTGGAAGTCTATAGGTACAACAGGCAGAATATCAAGGGGAAAACACCCAAAAGATATAAATTACTGTATAAGAAGCTTTTTTTTGTGAAATTGGTGATTTTTGAGGAGTCCTCCACATGAAACACTATGGCTGCATTTCTTCAGGGCAGGGGAAAGGGAGTTTTTTGAGGCTGTCCATTCTTTCCATTTTCAAAGACAAGCTGTTTCACAAGCCAGCAATTAATAACTACCATTTCAAAGCAATAAAATACTGATTTTCTACTGTAGATGTAGCTTAGAACAATTTAACTTCCATCTCTCCCATCCCTGTAATTCCAGCATTAATTTGTTCTGTTCTAAAACCTTCCCCACCAAATCCACTTGGAGTAAAATTTGATGTAGCAACACAACCACAACAAAAAACGTGTCCTTTCCCAATGTAACTTAAATGTTGATGGAATCATAACTGCATTACTCCCTCTCCAATTAGCAGGGAATTCTTTATGTTTGCTTACGAAGCGTGAACCGTTCGCTTGTCACTACAAAGACCTTCTGTGGAGGACTTAAAAATACAGCCCCAGCAATTAAAATGACAACAACAGAGGTGGATTGGTCACGTCATGACACAAAATATCCAGCTGTTTCTTTCCAGCAGAAGGACATGAAATATGATGAGCAAATTTTGACAGGCTACGTAACGCTGCTGGATATTCTGGGGGAAATGTGGATTTCCAAGAAAGGAGGAGACTAATGTGAAACTATGTCTAAGCTCACAGATTGATTTTTTCCACATGATCAGGATTGTCATTCATGCTTTTTATCTGTACAAATTTCCCTTTCTTCTTTGCTGGAACTAGGGATAGTCTATTATGTGAGAAATTCTCTAAAATTTGAAGAGGGGTATCCTCAAAAATAAAGTAAAAAATGATCTGATAGGGTTAGATCTTGAAAATCAGATTTTGGACTTACTTAATTTGGTTGTGTTAAAAACATTCTAAGAGTTTATTAAGACCATAAGTCTCATTATACCAAACAGAACATCTTTTATAATCACATCTGTCTGCTGCTGGTTCCTGCCTGTTCTGCTTCCCAGTCAGATGGGAAGTTATTTGTAATACATGTGGGGAATTTAAAAAATAATTTAGAATATATATTTAAATAATAAGAAGGGCTGAAAATGAAATGTTTCAGGTTAGCTTTTCCTAGTTAGGATTATAGGGGATAGATACAGAGATATAAATATAGACATATTTATCCTGAAGTGATAAGGTAGCTTTGATTTCTAATACAGCAAGATAAAATAACTGACACACACAGAACTAGCCACTCAAGGGGGGAAAAATACCCAAACACTGTCTATAGAATCCACCTACAGATATGTCCTTGGAGAAAAACTGATGAGAAAATTATCAGGCAGATTTTTCCTTGCTGTTTCCTTCCTGGAAGTTTTTGCCTCTCATAACAGCACAGCCATGGCAAGTGATATGTATCAGAATTCATCCATGCAGTTTATTTTGCACATCAAATTGATTATCCATGACTTCTTAGGCAAACACAGGAATGCAGAAAACATGTCAGCTGTTATAGACAGAATATATGGGCACTGCTCTCCTTACTTTACATTTAGAAAGAGCAGCAGATAATGAGCTCAACTATTACCTTGAGAATAAATTTCATTTCCAAGTTCAGGAGTATCTCTGGATTCTCATCTGTTTTGTGAACCAGAACTTACAGGTAGCTCATAACATTTGTCTTCTGAGCTGTGTTTGTCTCCAGAGTAATTGTCATAGGTGGGCAAAGGCTTTGATGTCCTCATCTTCATGCCTTCAACCACAATGACCTTACAGACTCAAAGCAATCACTGCAAAATACAGAAGACAAGGAAAAAAATTAAGAAATAAAAGCCCTGTCTTTTTCCTTCCTTAAATTCCCAGAATTCTTCTTCAGATTCTTGCCTGTAGCAAAAAAAAAAAAAATCAGACTAAAATATTAGCCTTCTGTATGTTTCATCTGATGTAATTGCTTGGCAACAAACATCTCTTGCTCTGCAAGTATTCTGCAGTGAATTTATTCACATCAGGAAAAACACATCAGAAAGGTGTCTAGTTTGAAAGTTTCCAAATCAGACACCAGGCACAAAAAAGCAGAGTGACAGAACAAGCAAGACACAACCTGGAACCATTCTGGGGACACACAGAGCACCTTTTCATCAACAGCCACAAGAAATAGAAGACAAACAAAACTTTTGAGATCAGCAGGTTTTGACAAACCAGTAATTAATCCTGAGCTGTAATAATAATAATGTGTGTTTGAGCAATATGGCATAAATCTAATTATTCTTTGCAGATGTTTGCTATTCATGACAGTGGAAACTGTTCCATTCTACACTGTGGTCACACAGTGGTATCAGAACCATTTTTATTAAGACATCAAGCACAAGATGTTCAATCTCAGAAGGTGAATTCTTAGATATTGGGCTGATAAAGCCATTTGAGATTCTGTAAAATATATATCATATAATAATTACATTTCATTATGTGGTTTACAAAAATCTATTCACTAAACTACAGAAGCTTGTCAGGCATTCTTTATTCCCAAAGAATAACATTCATCCATGAAAACAGTCTGATTTAAATAACTGTGAGTGCTGGCAGATGAAAATTACTGGATAAAGCAAATAGTGCCTTATTGAAAAATCAAAGCTACAAGTTTGAGTCACTCTTACTACTGAGATACTCACACCTGACCAGGCTTTAGGTACTGCAAATGCCATCTGTTTTCAGACACATTGGCCTTGCTGTTGGCAGAATTCATGCAGGATTTTGCAGTGAAATCAAAACAAGTCCAAATCTGGAAGACTTGAATACTTGGCCCCTGAATGAGTGTAAAATGCAAGTAAAACATGAAGCTGCACTCACAATACAGGAGTGGAGATGGAGTTGCAGCTGGAAGTTCAATCAAACCCCTTTGTATGAAGTGAGTGACCATTATTCAGTTTTGTATTTGGTATCAGACTTCAGAACCTGTGGAGCAGAAAACCAAGGAGAAGGCAAAACTTGTGCTGGAAAGATCTGAAAGATTCAGGGAGAAAACTGGTGGGAAGTGCCCTCACTCTCCTGCAGACACTGCACAGCCCCAGCAATTGCAGTGAACAAATAAAAGGCAGGAGAACACAGCACATGGATCCTAAACCCACAAACTGCTGGAAGTACAAGAGAGAATAACCCCCCTCCTGTCAGGTAGAGCAGAGCCTGTGTCAACAAGAATCACACACTCCCACTGTTGCTCAACAGATGTACTTGAACCAGAGATAAGGCACTTCAGAACTCAGGGAAGTTATGTGCAAAAGGTGTTGCCTCCTGTGCCTCTTTCCATGCAGGGAAAGGATTCAGGCACCTAATTCTGCAGTAAGGGAGGAAAAATGAGCACAAGAATTCTCGTCAATACAAATTATCCAGAGTAGGAGATGGGAGACAACCTTATAAAGCAAAAGCTCAGAGAGAGTCAATACATTTATAAATCAGAATACAGCAAGTACACTTACCACTGCAGAAAACTGTGAGTAAATCTCTCCTGAAGAAGGCTTTAAGCCCATTTCCCATTTCAAACCTATGTCACCAGTGAAGTCCTATAAATGAATATTCTCTTGCAGATAAAGTGCTTGTCTTCACCTTTTGGCAGCTGCAGTAAAAACAAAACATATCCTGCAAGGAGGTTTTACTCCTGAGAGTAATCTCCTCAAAGAGTGAGGAGAAAGCATGAGCTAAAATCACTTGCACAATCATGTTTCATAACTGTTCCTAGTCTGGTGGTATTGGTACAAAAAATGCACAAACTTTTCTCCCTCTTCTACTAAGAGGGAAAAAAAATCTGCTTATCTTTGGATACACAGAGACTTTGGAGGAGCTCCAAACAATGGAGCACTGTGTGCCCCACTCATCACACAGACACTGAAGAAAGAGTGTGGCAAAGAATGCACAAAGTATGTAATTACTGTTTCACAAGATAATTCCATTATTAATACATCCCCAAAGATAGCAGGCACAGCGCTGCAGTTTAATTAGATGGTAACTGGAGGGGGTTTGAATTTATGAGGTAATAAATATATTTTGGACTAATAAACTCCAAGGCTGAAGTGTTTATTAATCTAGAATATAAAGATTACATAGCTGATAGGAGACAACCTCAGGTTGTGCTGAGATGCCTGTTGTTTATACACTTCAAAATTAATATTTTCCTCTTTTGGGAGCAAGATCAGAAAACCAAGATTGCTGTGGATGGTGCTGAAAAATACTAGAAACTGCCCAACAATTCTGTGTTCTCAAAGGTAAAGGCTATTTAAGTCTCAGCAGATGGTGTGGTTTTAAGGTTTCACCTTTTAATCAATTTATCACCTCCTAAACTATTCAGTACTGCAAATAAACTCCTTCTGACACTGTCAGTGCCTCATTCTGGTGGTAAAACCCACAGACTCCCTTGTAGGATAACCAGAGCCTTTACAAGACTATCAGATCTCTCCTCTGTTCCCCCCAGATACTCAATTCCATCTTCATTCTCCTGCTTTTGGATTCACTTGCAAGACCACATGAACAATTTTGGTTGAATTTTTTTCTCTCCTGAACGTGGTTGTAGAAACTTTTTGCCTAGTGCAGCACATTAAGGATTTGGAAACCAACTGTTGTGAGGATTTATATCCCAAACAGCTGTGCCAGGAAGTCAGAGGAATCAAATGGTCTCATCTATTAACTTGTCCTCAGGTAGTTACAACTAGAGCTTTATAAATTACCACACACTTCAGTCCATTTAAACCACATTTCTCTGTTCTTTTGGAAGTGCCAATGCCTCACTCAGGCAAGACAGAAGACCAGGTTTGGTCCAGGAAAAAAATGGGCATGATTGAAGTCAAAGACCAGTCCTGCTTAAGCCAAAGCTAAATTTAGGGCTGAGGGAATGGCAGAGAAAGAAAAAGGAAGAAACACAAGGAGGAGCAACTTGTGGGATCTTGCAGGTGAATCAAGGCTGACGAGTGCAAAGGAACTGTTCCCACACCTGGGGAGTGATGGATGCTGGGCAAAAGCAGAGGAATGAATCCTGGGTGTGCCAAAGGAACTGTGGGGCAGGAAAAGAGGAGAGAGGCAAGACACACCACAGCTTGGATTTATGGGTGAGGAAAAACCCTGCTTCTCTGAGCCAGCCTGTGGTGGGTGCCAGCATGAAGAAGGTATCATTACCAAGAGCTGTAAAGATTTAAAGATATTTAAGAAAATGTTTATTAAGGAGATTAGGTGATCCAAATAGAATTGGCTGTGTGTTCAGACAGATTCCAGGGTGTTCCACAGGTTCAGGGCAAAGGCCCCAACACTAATTCTTGAGAAGAACCTATGGAAGATGACAAAGAACCATTTCCAAAGCTCCTGCCTCTTCATTCCCAGGCTTATATCCTCTCACCAACTGAAGCAAGTCACAGAACCAGCTTTCCAATATTACATCTCCAGGCAGTGTGTTATTCATACAGCTTATGGAGATGTCTTTACCCTCTGGAAAAACAAAGTTTAAGAAAAATGGCTCCATCTTTGGGGAACAGTTTAAGTCTCAGGATAACTACATTAGGAAATCTAACTCTATTACTTTCTATCTTACATTTTATTACAAGATTGGTAATAGGAAATTACCAAATAAAATTGGTATTTTACTTGGTAATTTTTTTCCATGGGCCTCGTCTAATATGAAAGATGGTGATCATCAAATTTATTCAAGTTTTCCTGTCAACAACATCATTAACCAAATCCCTCAATTTCAAAGTAAATAAAAGCATCTGGGCTTCTCGCACAGCAAGACTGACTTGCATATTTAAGCCTCATATATAGATGAATCTGCACTGGACCAAATTTGCATATTAATGAAGGACTAATTGCTCTTTGCAGTCAATTTTATGCAGATGAATTTACTCCTCTCAGTACAATTTTCATAATGTTCGGAAAGAACCAAAAAAATGTAAAACTTTGTAAAAGTACACAAATGTTAGACAATCAAGGAAGAAATATCCTAATGGCTTCCAACAGCTTTACATTAAATTGTATATAATTCATCTTTTATACTGTTGCTTTATTTTAACAGCCTCCCACAAAGAACAGAACAATCCATGGAATAACTTCAGCCTATTCCCCCTCCTCGGTCTCAAATTTTAACAGCTTGTAATAACCCATTATATGATCCAGTTTCCAGCTGGAAGGATGGAGCCTGAATTTTTAGGAGAAGTTAAATTTGCTAAACAGGAATTTATTTGCTCCCAGACATCCTCATGCCACAGGACAGTTAGGACAGAGTTTGTCCCACATATTTTTAAGGTGGTTTCTATCCAGTTTTGCACTATTAAGGAAAAAAGGCCCAAATTCTTGTGGAGTCTCCCCTGAGGTAAAGTGCAAAATGCCAAAAGAAGGACAGGAAAATTCATGGGAAAGAAAAACATCAAAAAATGCTGAGGAGAAAAGGATAATATTGGGGGGAAAGGGGAAAAGATGGAAATAGGAGAGGAAGGGAAGTGGAAATGGAAATGGAAGGAGAGAAAAATTATGCTTCAATGTGTTTATTAAGGTCTGGCTGAAAAGAAAAGAAGGATTTAGGAGAAAGTTCAAGGCAAAGTAAACAAATAAAAGAAAAAATGCAGCCACAAATGTAGCCACAAAAAAAGAAAAAGAACAGGAAAGATAATGAAATAAGAAATAAGTGAGAATCAGAGAGCACACGATACATAAAGAAACAAATAAAAGAAAATACAAACCCCAGTTTTTCCTCATTCTGCCAGAACAGAAGGACAGAGTTAGTGGGAATGCATCAGGAATCTGAATTTGCATGTATAGCCTTCCTCCTGCCAAAGAAAAAAGCCTTATTTTAACTGTGAAGACTGATAACCATAATATTTATATGTATCATAAAATCACTTACAGAAGACCATTTTAATCAGAAAAGGAATCCATAAAAGAAAGTTACATCTTTAAATGACTTGGAGGCCTTTTGTAGAAGGAACATGGGAACACAGTTCACCTTCCCCACATCTGCCATATCTCTGATTGCACTTTTTGTCCTTCCCTACAGCTTTTGCTGTTTTTACATCTCCTTTTTGAGGCAGAGTATTCACACATGATGGTTTATAGTGGTACCAAGAAATCTTTTGTGGTTTTTCTCTATTTCTCCTCTAATTTCCTACTATGCTTCTTCCTGGACCACGCTGAGCTTACAGATCTCCCAAGATCCCACAATTTGGCTCCAGAGAAGCAACAGTTCATAAAAAATGTTTAATTATCAAAATGAAATAATCCTCAGAATGAACATTTTTGACTGAGCTGTTGAGTTCTTCCAAAGAAGAATCAGAAAATCAGCCAGGAGGTCACTTTGGCATCTCTCCTTCTGGTCCTTCCCACCTTGATGACTGAAGAATTTTTCTGGGATAAAATCACTCCTCCATGAGCAATAAAGGCAATGGTTTTATGGATGTAAGATCCCATTGCATGGAGAAAAAGGGGGAAAAATGCTCTAGGGCAGAGGAGTTGGCAGAAAATATCAAACCAAGGGGAAGGACAGGGCAAATGACACGAGGTTTTCACTAGCACTCAAAAAAAGAACAGACCACAGAACAAAGACAAACAGAGTTACAAAATAATAACAGTAATAATTGGAAAAGAATGACAAATACTCCACCAGGAAAATATTGGAATGCTACTGCTGAAGAATTCTCAGTGAGGAAGCAGGACTCAGTTCAGCTGGGCAGCCTGGAGGTTTGGCTTTCAAAAGTTATTTGACAACAAATTACAGCTCTTTGTGAATACTTGGAATTCTGGCTTATTAATTCAAACTGTTTCCCTGTTTTGCTCATAAAGGAGAAGGAAGGGAAATGCTTCTCCTTTATAATTTCTGTACATTTGGAAACCTGCTCAGGGCACTGCCCCTCTTTCCCCAAAAATGTCTGGTTCAAGGGAGTAATGCTGTGTGAATGTAAACAAAGATAATTATTCAAACAAGAACAAGATGTTCCACCCAAAATGATTTGTTTTCCAGTGGCTGAGATGCCTACTTCTGATCACCAACAAAGGTTAACCTGACCAGACTTAATTAACCACTTAATACAATAATAAAGATGCACAAATAATGGGGGAGGGAGCTCATAGAGGCAACAGTGAATCCAAATAAATCCCTCCAGAAGCACAAAGTCTGGGCTGTTATCACCTGATTACACTGAGGTAAGAATTCCCAAGCTTTTAGATCCACTAGGCACAGTTTTGCACTTGTCTATGTGGAACTTGATTAGTAGATGGTTTTAATTATTATTAAACAAACAGAAAAAAAAAAAAAAAGGCAAAAAACCACATCCCTAAAATTCAATGATAAAGTGAACCCAGTGATATTTCTTAGTAGTGTGCTTCAAATTCATAGATGAAGCCAAGTGGTTTGTACAGATTATTTGAGGAGTACAGGAAACTAAATCACTATTTTCAGTGAAAAAATAGTCTTATTCTGGAATATTCCCTAGTAATGAAACAAAAGCCTTCTATTACAACAATAAAGTAATTTACAAGTATTAAATACCATAAACTGGAAATACTGCAAAAATTTTACATTTCAAAGAATGTTAGGAAATATTCTTGGCCCTGGATCTCTGGATAATGTGTGCAGCACTTGCTGGTTGAGGCAGGCTGTACTCAGAGTTACCAAATATTGAGTATTAAAGAGGAGGACTGGGCATCAGCCCTTCTATTTCTCTCAGTAAAGTTTAAACATCCCTTCAAATAAACAATTCAGTGCAAACCAACAGATCTGCTATTGATTCATTCTGTTCATAAAAAGTAACAACATCGTGGTAAATTCAATCTAGTCAATGAGAAGTTTATGAGCCTAAATATATCAAAAGGGCAATGAAAGCTAATATCTAGTGATTAAATAACAATCTGTGAGGAAAAGACACCCAACTTTCAATTCCAGGGCAGTGGAATCATCTCCTGATGAAAAATAAGGATTTGAATTGTTTCAGAGGACACTGCAGCCATTTGCCCTTTTTAACAGCCTGGAAGTTCACAAGGCAAGATTAACTTATAATTTAACTGAAGTGGATCTGAAATAAAGTTTTTTGATTAAAATCTCCATTTCTGTGCCTCCTGGCAGTGCCAATATTGCTGGAACAGGACATCAGCTGCAAAGCCAGCGACTCTGGAATGCACTGCCATAAACTGTAAATCAGCTTTGTCCTACTTTAATATTGGTTTAACAATAAAAAAAAGAACTTGGATGTTTAATATTTAAGTAGTACAATTATCCCTTTAGAACTGAGTCCAGAAGGACCCTTCATGGGTACACAGTGTGAAACAACAATGAAGGGAATGTGGGTTTGCTCCACAAGGAGGCTTTGATTTGTAGGACCCAGCTGAAAGGTGAATTTGGGTGTGCTGAGGAGATGCCACGGGGACTCTGAGCAGTGGAAATCTCTCCCACAGTGCCATGGACAAAACTGAACAACAGAGCTCCAACACTAGCAGAGCAGGGAGCTGTGAACAGCATTCCTGACAGGGATGGTGCCTTGGTTGGAAGCCCAGACACAAGAGTGGCTTTCTCCAGCATTGTTTTGGAAGCCAAGGTTAGAGCAAGGAAAGCCTCCCATCCCATTTTCCTCTCCTTCCTGTCTTTTGTCACTTCAGGGTGAGTGAACACAGAAAAATGTCAAGTTTTGGGAGGAACATTTTAGTAATGAGCTAAGTATTGTCCCTGAACAGCGAAGCAGGAATGTTCAGATGCCAATTTTTGTGTTTTGGGGGAAGGTCAGAGAGGAAGTCCTGCACCTGCTCTGCACTTCAGGGTGATGCTGAGTGCAAGTGCCCATTTCTGCCAACCTTGAGGACTCTGCTGTGCCCAGCCAGGCCATGGCCAGTTTGCCAAGCCAGAGCAGGAGCTGTGGATGACATGGATGACATGGCTGGAGCACACATGTGCAGCACTTGTGAGGAACAAAAGCACAGTGTTATTTAGTACCTCACACAGATGGGTAAGTCCACTCTGGAGATCTCTGCAGACTTGTGAAATCAGGATGACGTGTCTGGAATTCTTCCTCTCCTCTCCAGTGCTGAAGGAACTCAGGCAAATGTAAGTTGGCAGCTCCTTTAAAGACTCCAATTTACCCATTTTACATAATAACTTTCAGCTGCATTAAACACAAACACACACAAAAAAAAACCAAACAGGTAGCACCAACAGTGAAATCTAAATTTGGATTACTCACAGAGAAAACACACAAAGTCTGAGTGATTTTGCAATTAAATCAGAAGCAAACTGAACTAATTTTTACACTAAGCTGGATTGTCCATGGGACACATCAGTCTGCACCCAGAGGGAAGTTGTAGAAGCAAAGTTCTGCATTTCCTGAGGCAGCTGAGGAATGGCAAGTACATCCACACACCTCTAGACCTACTGGTTCCTCCCAAATCCAGAAAAATCCAGTCTCCTGGGGCATTATAAACCCCTTCTCAGAACAGCCCTGCCAAAAGCAAAGTGCAGATTTCTGTATTAAAGGATTCTCTCATTCCCTGGCTGCTGCTGAGTGTTTGCCCCAGCCCTGAGTGTGTGGCTGTCCCACTCCTTGGATATTCATTCATTTGTTGCTGGGCACATGAAAACCTGAAATCATAACTCTCAGATTAGATTCATTTGGTATTTCAATTTCCAATCTATATTTTAATTAACTCTTTTACTTCAGCATTGCATTTCATCATGATGAATTACTTGGAGGAATGCACAATACACAAGCTCTATGGAGTAACTGAATGTAAAAATATTTACTTAGAAACTTTCATTTATTTTTCTTCAAACTGTTAAAATAGAATGTACAGACATAGTAACAGAAATATGAGGTGACAGAAGAGAATGGGCCAGATCCTTGTGAATCCACTCCATTTTACCAGGCACATAAAACTGAACTGGCCTCAGCTTAATGTAACTGATATATCTCAAAAATGAATGTTAGATATGAAATGGCAAAAAGGCTGGTGAGCCAAATTTATCTTACTGGTTTTCAGTTTATTTTCTATTATTCCCTTTCTATATTTTCAAAATATTCCTTAATGCTCTTTCCTTTCAGAAAGAAATGTAAGTCTATCAAAATAATATTTACAAGCTCAGCTGCAACATCCTCCATGGTAATTCAGTCTGGCTGTTTGTTGCTCTTTGTGAGGAATAGTTCTGCTTGAGCTCTCCACAGAGAAGAAAACAACTCTGTTTTCCTGATATACTTCAGATTCAAATTATTGAAGTGCAGGATGGAGAAATGAATTAGATAAAGGCATGGGAAATGTGTAATTCATACCTGTGATGAGCTCGCTGGTAACTGATAAAGCTGTGAGTGTTAAAAGAACTTTAATGAGAAATGATATTGACCTAAGTGCCAGTGTTATCAGCACTACTGCATTTAATATAAATGAAATTTAAAAATATTTAACTTGCACTTCAGCAGTGTCCACTGACAAATATTTTACTTTAATATCTACCTCTGATGTCCATTAAAATACCTTTAGAAGAGAATATCAAAAGCAATTTCCATCTTAATTTCCTACAGTCCTATAACTTTTTATGCTCTTATAATTAAAAACAATTCCAACTTCTTTCCTCTGTCTAACTAATTCAAAGACACACATTTTTTGCTACCTCCTCTCTAAATTGACAGCAGTGTTTCTGTGCAGCCTTTCAGAAAGGTTCCAGCTGCAAACAGCAGTGTCCAGAGCAGAGAGGCTGTTCCTGGTTATTGCTGGAAGAAACCTCAAACTATAAAGTAACTCTCATGATTAGGATGAACCATCAATAATCATCTACTTTTAAGTGCAGCATCCTATAAATCCTCCTAATTAGTAAACTAGATGTCTTCTTTTTAGCAAACAATCCCCAGCCTCCCTCCTTCTTTATTTCCCTGAATTCAATTATGTTTGCACCTGCTGGCCCAGCCACCCAAATGACAAATTCTGGATGGAAGGGAGAAGCTGGGCCATAAACAATAACTTCATTATAGTTCAATTTAAAGGATTTGCCTGCACCTACTTTCTCTGCTTTATGAAGAATGTTGATGCTGTTTCCCCCTCTGTGGCTCTGCTCTCCTGTCAGGAGATGCAGCAGCACCAGCAAGAATTTCACACTGCTCCAAATCCACCCTTCACTGCTGGCTCCATTGGAATCCAAGCTGGGATTCTCCTGGAGGGGAAGGACCACCAGGATAAAGAGGAAAGGAGTGATTTCCAAGTCTGGGCTGAAAAACTGGTAAAAGTCAAAAAAATTTAGTTGGTTGCTAAAAAGGACTCTTTGCAAAATAAAGGTTAGGAAGTATTTCTTTAGAATACAAAAGTAACAGAACTACTTTTGCCATGAAAAGCCATGGAGGAGGAGGAGGTATTCCTGATGGTATTTACCTACCACAGGACTTTAAAATCCGTCTAGTCCCTAAATTAAATCAGTTACTTTCCCAAAAATCTTCCTGAATGAAATTTAGTCTCTGGATGAAAAATCCTGAAAATTTGGGAATGGAATCTAAGCCATTCTCTACCTTGAAGGATTAGACACGACAGAGATGGATCCCAAACTGTGGATGTTGAAACTCAACAACCTCCAAACCATCACAGAAACCACATTTCCTCCCATCACCTGAAACACAACATACCTTCAAAATATGTCCTGAAGCTGTTACACCTTACATGTTAAGCCAATATTGGCAGAATTATCAATTTACCATATTTGTCTCCCAATGAACAGTAATTTGGATGAGTGTGTATAATTGGACTGTGTACAAATGAAAACAGTAACCAAAGGGGAGGCAAACAGGCAGCTAAAGCCCTGAGAGAGGAGCTTTGGAGAGAGGAACTGCACAGCATTTTTATGTAACACGTGGGGAAACTGTGCAGCATGGGAGTTTTGAATGTTAATTCTGCAGCTGTACTAAATCCAGTGTGTCAGACTCTGTCTGCAAGCAAGCCAGATTTAAGGAAGCACATTTTTACTGCAGCACTGGAGGCTGAAAAATGGTTAACTTGGTTAAGTTCACCTGGAGGAAGTTTACATAGGGGGCTAAGATGAATTCCAGTACTCCTTCAGCACTGTTTCAGAAGTAGTTCTTACTTAAATTAAATAGTTAAGTACTTTTCTAAGTATTCTTTCATTAATGAAGAAAAGCATGGCATGAGCTAGAACTCTTCAATTAAGATAATCATTATCATAAGCAGATGTTTTGTTTGACAGTTTGAAGGATATGGGTGTGCTGTGATTTAGTTCAGAGACTTTAGTTCAACTGAAGACTTCCATTAAGCGACCTCACCCTCATCTCTAATTGTATCAATCACAAAATCACCATTCTAAGGGGCAGAACTGGAGATGTTTGGGGTCTTTTTTTGTGACAGAAATGTAAACAAGCTGCTGAGGACTGGGGTTAAGCCCAGCGGGCAGGAGCAGGGTACAGGGCAGAGATAACACAAATGGCTTAACAAGCACCCCGTTATCTCCTGGGAGCAGACACAGGAGCTGGGCCTGGCCCTCACCCACGGCTGCAGACAAAGGCTGGAGCAGGCTGAAAGCCATGGATCAACTTCCAACACACCTCAACCACTGGAAATAGCACACAGCCAGCTCTGATGGAAATATAAATGCACAGGGGAAGTTCTTCCGTGGAAATGAACTTGTTTGTTTACAAACGTGGTCTTGTCAACTTCCAGGATCTCAAATTCACCTCTGCATTTCCTCCTAAACCATACAAGCTTGGCCACTGTGCTTTGCCTTAACTGAAAAAAATGTTTAAGTTAGTGATTGTTTTCCAAAACAAAAATAATTTTCACATTCAGTTTCACTTTACCTTCTAAATTACCATCTGTGTCTTAAGTTTTACTGCCTAATTTTACAGACACAAGCAATTGCTTTTAAATTTGGTAAGACATTTAGTCCATTTCAAGCAAAAAAAAATCGTTTTGATACTTGTAAAGTGTTATAGGCATAATCTGGATAATCTTATTACATGACAAACATGGTCTGATTCTTGGATAACACTTCCTAATAAACTAACACACCTCTGTTAAAACAAAATCTTTTGTTAGAAAAGAAGTAGAAAAGCCCCCCATATCCTTAAGAGAATTTAAAATATTGTCACCAAGCTAAAAACAGCAAGTAAATATTAACTCTGTGAAGTGCAAAACAAGTTTTATTGACCCATGAGGTAAATATTGACTGAAATGAAGCAAATATTTATGTGCTGATGTTAAGGGGACGAATCCCCTTCACCACAGCAAACAAGATTTTGCCTACTACATTTCTGGGTTTGTATTTATTCCAAAAGGTCTGAAAGGAGATATTTCCTTTTCCAGACATCTGCTTTTTAAAAACAAAACTGTCTTTCCTCAGTGACTAAATTGGATGTGCACCCAGAGGGCTGGAATATTGTACAACACACCGGTTTGACAAATTGCTTTCAAACAGAAAACTCACTTAACTAAAACCTGACCAGACAACAACATCCAGGACCCCTCTTTGATCCCTAAAAAGGTAAACAGAAAGTCAAATTCCATTTTATGAGTTATGTTAGAAGATTACTTTGGGTTTGGAACATAAAAATGTATTGCTGTATATCACACACATGGTGGGATTGCCAGGGCTGTCCTGTGCAGGGCCAGGAGTGGCACTTGGATGATCCCAGTGGGTCCCTTCCAACTCAGGATGTTCTTTGATTTAACAAGGAAAATACAGAATAACTAAGGATATAACTACTAGCAGCTACTACAAATGGAATATAAATTAACAAACTCATCTATCTCTCCCTGGTAAACCCATTCCTGCTCACACATGAGAATTCACTGTTCAATTGATGATTCACACGGGGATTCACACGTTCAGATGAGCAAATGAGATGGGAAAAACCCTATTTTTGAGAAACTTCAAAGGTCCTATTGAAAACCCTGGCACCTTTAAGGACACCCATTAGAGAATACCAACGTCATGATCATTACATCTTCTGACCTAAATACCTCCGTAATGGTTTAACAGCAGCAATTAACACACACCTCCCGAAATTCCTCAACGGCTGAATAATTTTTGAGTCACTGGATTTAACAGATCCTCCAGTGTCACTGCAAGAAAAGCTCGGTTCAGGAAACAGCTTCTCCACTTGGTCCTGATGACCACGGGAGTCACTCCTTCCTGCAGATAAAGACAGAGGCTGAGCACCCTCCTGTGCAGGGAGCAAAAACTACAGCTGCCCTTTGTGGCTCCGCTGGCTGATTCTCATTCAAGGCTTTATCTTTGCCTAAAAAAAAACAAAACAAGACTCCGGGATCTAATTCAGCAGCTTTGGAACAATTACACGACAGCAGTGCAGTGGAATTACTCTCAGTTTAGAATGACTTCACAGGAATGAACAGGCTGCTGTACACAGAGGGCTTGTAAGATTTCTGGAAACCTCAGGGAACGGGGTGATGTCATTGCAACACAAAAATATCTGCTTCGAATTCCTCACGAGTCTCCTTGACAAAGCTTACAGGATCAGAGCTCAGCAGTGAAACTCAGCCATCACCTCAGGGGTGTTTCCAGAACTGGCCTCTGTTCTTCACTGCCTCAGATGCAGGAGCTGTTTCCTTGTGCTCGAAATACAAACTGAAGTCAGGGTTTGCAGAGCTGCAGGAGACAGTTTTTAAGAAGATGGAGCACTCAAAGCTCAGGAAACATTCGAATTTTAAAGGTTATTTGAGCCTCTTGGCAGGACTTTCGAATCCTTCAAACAGTTTAAACTAAACCCTCTTAATTTTGCAGAAGTCTTCCATACTCAAGCAGCATTTTGGGTAAAATGAAGACAAACCAATAAAGGCTTTGAATATTCAGGACATTCTGCTATTCTACAGACTCTTACCAAAAAGCCCAATTTTTTATCATATCATTAACTAAAATTGCTTTCCCTGTATCTGAGATCAGCTCCTTTAAATTCCACCACAGATGATGCTGCACACCCCATTTTAAAGAACCAGTTCTTTCTGATGAAAAAAAAAGGTGAAACAAAAGGTGAAGATTGTAATCCCTTAACCTGCTCAGGTTTCTGCAGAGCTCCTTTAGGACACAAAATATATTCTTCTAGTATTTCTGCCCATAAAACAGAAATTTTAGCAATTTCCAGGAGAGTATAACTGTTGCTGCAGAGGTAAATACTGAGCTGCCAGGGCATCCCCGACAGGGTTCCACAAGCACCAGAGTTTGTTCCAATGTTTTCATGCACTGGACAACCCCAGGAGGAGCAGGCACACACTGATGGAAAGTGCTGATTGCACCAATTAAGGAGGTACCACCTATTCCTGGGAGGATGAGAAAGTCTGGGACACTTCTGAGTGTATAAACACCTGAAAATGTGCCTGGGCACTCAATGAAATTTATTGGCACCCTAGGAGTAGAATCCAAACACAGATTGGTAAATTTATCACAAGGTATTCCATGACCTAATGTGTCCAATGCCCATGGGAAAAGACTTCCAGTTTTCTGTGAATAATCTCCCAAATCTCTCTTGTGTCAGGAGTTACTAAATCCAGAGGTCATTAATGGCACTAGGAAAACATACCTGTTAAATAACAACATCTCTGAAGAGTTACACACCTTCTAATGAGCTGTGAATTGGAGATAAATCAGCAAGTGACCTGCATGAGCAAACACCACTGATTAATAAGCTGCCGTGAATTAATTTCATATTTTCAGTGCATGTGGCAGTGAGAAATAGTTTGAGAACAACGTGGATTTAAAGCTACATTTGTACTTTAATGCATTTTATAATTACAAAAAAGAAACAGCTGAACAAATCTTTTATATTTATACCCTTCCAAGCGATGTACAGAAGGCATGCATAATTTCCAATCATAAAACACTATTTAAAAATAAAAGATTTATAATTGCTTTCCCTGATTTGAGAAGCAAATTAAGACTTTTTTCACATTGTCCTTCATAATCCAAACACGATGCAAGTGACTGACTGAGCAAAGAGTGGGAGAATGAACAATATGGCACAGCAGAAGCCAAACACAACAGGTTTGTGTTATCCTTGGAAGGATGGGGACGTGGCCATAAAATTTTTTGAGTGCTTTCTGCCAGGCATCTGAAATCTGCATTGGTGCTGCTACTGAGCAGTATTGGGATAATTAGACAGAAAAATTACACAAATGAGAAAGGTCTTCTGAGTTCAGAGGGCCTACAGGAACATACCCCCTACTGTGGGTATGTTTAATACTTAAGTATATCTGTAATAACCAGCCCAGGTTTCTTCCAATCCATCAGCCACAGCCTGAGCAAAAAGCTAAGGATATGTGACCTGAACTTTCCAGTCGGGAAATTCTAGGCACAGTTTCCAAAAACATCATAAAAGTAGACCAAATTGCCTCCTCAAAACCTACCTCCAAGAGACACAGAGATGCAGCCAGTGTTTTCAGCTACTTCCCTGAAAAATAAAAAAAGCTTTGTTGTTAGATGGTGTCACTGAACACCAGGCCACCTAACTCTTCCAAACACTTAGCTTTCCACTTCATAACATCTACATCTTAGGGCACATCCTTTCCCTCTCCAGGGGTTACTGACCCCACAGCATTGCTGTATTCAAACTTTGGAATTAAACCAGCATTTCTGTTCTAACTCAAAACAACACAGCACCGATTTTTCAAAGCTGCTTAGATATTAGTCCCACTTTCCGTGTGAGCTGCATACCTAAACACTTTTTCTAGAAAAATATCTGAGCCAGGGAAAACAGATGCCATTTCTGGACGCAAACTAATTTATTCAAGAGCATATTTCAAAAAGAAAACCTGTATCTTTTTCATTCCAAGCCTCTCCCAAGAGCTACAGCAGCATTAACTAGGGCAGCGCTTTCCTCAGGTTTCCTGGGAGGCAAAGCCAATTTCCAGACAGCAGGACTCCCTTAATCGCCACCGACAAGTAATGACACCGCAGCACACATATACTTTTACATCCATCCCTTCATTTCCTTCCTTATTATTGCCCTCCCAGGTTAATTTTAATTGAGGCTTTCAATAAAAAGCAACAGGACCCTCCCCCCTGGTTTTGGCGGGGCTGAGGGGAGGCGCGCCCTCCTCACGACGGGGCGAAGGCCGCGACGTTGCCAGAGCAACGCCCCGCTCGGAGCCTTCCTCCTCCTCCTCCTCACTCCTCTCCTTCCTCCTCCCCTCACGGCTCCTCCTCTTCCTCCCCCCGCCGCGCCCTCTCCCACCCCCTGGGCCCCGGCGATGGCGGCGGGCTGCGGGCGGGAGGCGCCGGGCGCCCCATGAGGTACCGTGAGGGGAAGGGCGGGAAAGGGGCCGCCCGCCGTGTCCCCTCACGGCGCAGGGCAGGGAGGGGGGCGCGGGGACGCGGCTCTGGGGTCACCCTTTCCTTGCATTCCCTTCCCTGTGCGGGGGTCCCGGCGGTACAAACCCACCCGAGGGGTTCCGGGGATGAGCCTTCCTGAGGAGATCCCGGCGGTTCGGACCCTCCCGGGGGTCCCGGCGAGGTGCGGGAGCCGCTCCCGGAGCGCGGGGGGAGCAGCGGCCCCGGGAGACACGGGGAATGCGCGAAGGGGCCTTAAGCAAGAACCTTGTTTTAGTTAATATTTTTTTGTGGGGGAGAACAAAATCTGGGTGCTGGCGGGAGTCTTCTCTGAAATCCCATTTAGTAACTCGGTGATTTGAAAGTTTGCTCGGCGCAGTGCCAGGGGAGGTGCGATCCTGCAGCTCCGGCTTTTTCAGCACCGAGCTGTCAGTCCTTGCTGACAGAACCCGGCCCCAAAACACCAACTGCAGGGTAAATGAGGTGTCTTTTTTTATTCCTTCCTGTAAAAACATCGCTCAGTAACACTGTAACACTGCTCACTAGTCACTACCATCTCCATCGGTTTTATTTCTGTGCAAATAAAAAATACAGAATGCAAATTTAGGTTGTTTTGAAGTATGATGTCATCTTTGGCCAACAAAAAAAATAGTAGTAGTAGGAGGAGCACTTGTAAATATTAGTAAGTACTCATATTCATGTGTTAAAGTGGTTCTACTCTTTAATTTTACCTTCTTTTTAAAGGCTAAAGAATTTGAGGTTTGTGCAAATGCATCCAGAACTTGCTGTGCAAAACCGATTTTGCTTTGTTTCTGTATCCCCAGTGAACCTAGCTGTGAAAAAAATATTTTCAAAGAGGAATCCGTAAGAGTTTGAACAGTAGGAAGAGAATTATATAAAAATTCTCAGTGTTTCAATATTAGTCCATAGTGACAAGTATTGTGTCAAATTCAGCTTCGAGGCATTCTCCAAAATCATTACTCTGATGTCACACCAGTCCAGAGAAGCTGATTTAACCCTATTTGATCTGAGTAAAGACTCACGGAGAAGTGAAAAAGTGCCCAAAGGACAACCAGAAGATGCCAAAGGAAAGACAAATCAGCCCTCATTTGGCTGCATTTCATTTTTCACTCTTTTAAATGCTTCTTAGAAAATGGCCTAACCTGGTTCTGCTCCCTTCCCCAGACAGGATAATCTCATTAATCTCATAATGGCCCTCAGTTTTGAGCATGCACTGGCTTTTGACTGGACGTGTCTGAGCCAGTGCTCACCAATTAATGGATGCATGGAAATGTACTCCCTGCTTCCTTCCCATCAGTGTTTGCTCCTTTTCTGGCCCACTGCTGTTGCTGTTTTTGTGAAATTATGCAGCACTTCCAAGACCTCTCCCGTACAAACCATGCTGGTCTCCTGTCCAGCAGCTTTTGCTGTTTGATTTGCACTTTTAGCTGCTCCTAAGGTAGCCAGGAAAACCTGGGGGGAAGGAACGTGGGGGGAAGGAAATTATTTCCTTCCCCACCTGCACATGGGGGGAAGGAAATAATTTTAATTTGGGACACAGGAGGCTGTCCTGTGGAGGGACCCACACAACAAACTTGGGCAGGATCTCAGAGAATTTGAAGTCACTCAGTACAGCTATTGGAATTTTATTTTCCTGAACTCTTATCTCTTTAACTGTTCCTGTTTATATCCCGCTCTAGGAGACACAAATTAGGAAAAGCCCCAGGAGCAAGCCCCACCATGCACCCCGACTGCTCCCATCTCCACAGCATCCAGAGCAGCACCGATCCCTCCTCCTCCTCCTCCTCCTCCTCGGCCAGGCCGGCAGGAGACACCTCCTGCCCGGGGGACGTGCGGATCCAGCTGGGCTCGGGCGCGGCAGAATCCAGGGAAAACGCGACCTGCCGGGGCTCCAGGCCGGGCTCCCAGAGCCGCCCCCAGGGGCACGCCCTCGGGGAGGCAGCAGGGCCCGAGGATGCGGCCGCGGAGGCCGAGGAGCAGGGCGGCAGCTCCCTGTCCGAGCTGCGCTGCCTCCTGCACTGGCTGCACAAGAGCCTGCCCTACCTGCTGATCCTCGGCGTCAAACTCCTCATGCAGCACATCAGCGGTAGGGTAGATCAGAACCAGACCCCCCTCCCTCCCCTCGGCCATGAAGTGTACTAATAACCATGCCTGAAATGTAATTCGATTTATTTTTAGCTTTATTTTTATTTGCTTTATTCATCAGAAAGAGAGATTTGCTAAACTACATTTCAGTGGCTTCTGTTTCCTTTGCTGGCATATGTACAATGTGCTTAATTATCCTGGCTTGAGAGTCTGAGCTATTAATTCTAATTACAAAGACATATTAGAAGTGGCTGCTTTTTAACCCAGTTCAGTGATTTTTTTTTCCCTTTTCATGTTTATAACTGATCCTATTTTCCTAATAGGCATTTCTCTTGGAATTGGGCTGCTAACAACTTATGCATATGCAAACAAAAGCATAGTAAATCAGGTTTTTCTCAGAGTAAGTATCACCCTATGCAACAAAATTCTTTTAGTTAAGCAAGACTTTAACAAGTTAATCATTTTTGAAAGAAATGTGAATAGACATGTTGTTTTATTTACTTAATAATATTAGCTGTCAAGATAGAAGTAAAGTTTTAATGCTTCTGTACAGGGGAACTTCTCAGATAACAAAGTTTGCAAAATTCTAGGAGGAGGTGGTTTTTTCACCTCAGATTTTGACTATTGAAATAACTTTTTTGTAAGTTATGGATTAACTTCTTAACTATATTAGTGGGATGAAATAGCAGTTGACAGTTTAAATCTTCAGCTCTGTGTTCACTCCCAGAGGGAAACCTGTTGTTTCTTCAGAGTGGGGTGGGTTTTGGTTGTCTTCAGAAAAAACCTTGGTACACCTAGAAATTGGTAGGTTGAAAATACTAAAATTACTGCTTTACCTTCCCATTGAGTTCTCCTCTTTTATGGGGTCTAAACCCCTCAGATAAAGTCCCCTGGTAGTCCTGGTGTTTGGGATGTGTTTCAGCACTGCTCTGAGGCAAGGACTGCAATGTGTCTTTACCCCCCCTGCAGGAACGGTGCTCCAGGCTGCAGTGCACTTGGGTACTCCTCTACCTGAGTGGGTCATCTCTGCTCTTGTATTACACCTTCCACTCTCAGTCCCTGTATCACAGGTGAGTGTAGAAACAGCTCTACCCCACCAGACATGGCTCAGACATTAACTGGGGACACTTTGTCTGCTGTTTTTCTTTAATTGTGGCATTGGTTTGTCTTTCACTTTAATCTCCATTCCTCCCCTTCTGCCAAATTTAACAGGTGCTGTCCTTAAAACCAGTATGTTGGAATTTGCTAGACTCCATACTTGATTTAATGGCACTGCTGTACCACAGAGAACATTCCTGGCTTTGACTGCCAGCTCTGACCCTTGGGAATACCAAACGTGGCATCCTGGGGCTCTGGAGTTTATGACTCCAACTGATTTCCCCCTTGACCATTCTGTAGCTGCAGCCTTGGCTGGAAATCAAAGGCTCAATGCCAAACTGAGACAGCAAACTGAGCTCTGGAGGATGGGGGCTGTGATGAAGATCCAGCAAAGCAGGTTCCAGGATGGAAAAGTTGTCAGAGATCCTCAGTGATCCATTTACAATGAGCAGTTCATTTTCTTAGCAAATGTTTTCCCTCGGTGTGAACCAAGTTTCCTTTTTTAATTAAACCTGCTGTGATAATCTCAGGTTACAGTTTCCTCTAAATAGGGTGCTCCAGTAACTTCTGATACTTCTTTTTGTAGCTTAATCTTCTTAAGCCCCACTGTGGATTTTATGAACTTTTGGGAGGTGCTTTGGATTGTGGGAGTCACAGACTTTATTCTGAAATTCCTCTTCATGGGCTTGAAGTGCTTTATTCTCCTGGTGCCTTCTTTTATCATGTCCTTTAAATCCAAGGTAAGGAAACAAGCTGGAGTTTTGATTCCTTGTGAAGATTCTCTTATGGTAAAAGTAATTAATTATTAAATTCTACCCAGTGAAAAATCTTTAATTAAATGTCTGTATATAATCCACCACTACACCGTGGGCAGGAAAACCCTGTGGATTTCATGTTCTTCTCTGCTTGGTGCTAAAAAAGGTTTTCAGTCTGATCAGAAACAATTGCTTGTATTATATCATTGGATAAATGGGTTTATTTCTGTCTCCAAGTTGGGGGTTGGAGCAAACCTTTTATTTTCTGCTCTGTAGGAATGTGTACACAGGCAGTTGGCCTGGAGCAGCTGGGGCACAGCAAATTTTGCACATGCTCAACAAGAACAGTCAAGATTTTAAGATCTGCACGTGCATACAGCTGTTTTTTTTTCTGTCTCTTCAAAAATAATCCTGATTTTTTTTTTGTCGTTAATAAACTTAAGGAATATTTGTGTCAGATCAAGGAATTTGATGCACAGTTTAATTTCTCAAGTCAGTGAGGTTTAATAATTTTCTCAGAAGCTTACACTCACTGGTGGTGTATTTATTTTTATCTGCTTCCCAAGGTGAGGCAGGCAAAACCAATTACATTTTATCTTAAAATTGCAATTACTAGTGCTGGTTCAGAAAAAATAAATCAGCAAGTACAGTTTGATGTGGTAGCATTTGAACAGGGTGTTTTGGGACGTTTTTATCTCTTGTAATGTACCAGAACAAGTTCTTCTGAGGTACAACTGGCTTCTCTAAATACTGATTTATAATCAAGATCTCTATTTTTTTTCTACAGCTAGTGATGTAACATGAAAAAAAGTTATTGAAAATTCCATTACACCATGGCTAAACTAGAGAAAGAATCTGGTCAATAGTGGCAAATTGTGGCATCATCCAGTGTACATTATAGAAAGAGTTACAAACACATTTTTAAGAAAAACTTACTTTATTTCCTTAAAAGCTAAGCTAAATATTTATTATACATGTACACACAGAATGTCCATGTAATGAGCCTTATTCTCACTTTTAAACCTGAGTGCAGGACACAACTCTGGCCCATGACAAGCTGATCTCTGTGACCAAATTTGTGTTTTTCTCCTTTTTCATGTAACTTTACTTTTTTTAATGCTTATGAAATTAAGTCTGACAGCCTTGTTAAGTAGGTAGGCATCTGCCAAGCCATCCCAGTTCAGCCTATAATTTGATTTTCTGCAGTCCAGCAATCAATCCTGTTGCTGTTACTTGGACAGTTGTGAGACTCATCCTCTGATCTTTTTTTTCTGTGCTTCACATTGAATTGTTTCATTACAAGAAGCTACTCCAAAGAATAACAATGCATCTTTTCTGTGTCTTTTGCACATCCTTGGAGTTTTAAATCTTGAGCTGTTCCTTTGCATGTCTTGCTTAGGGCTACTGGTACATGCTGTTAGAAGAACTCTGCCAGTATTACCGTATGTTTGTCCCCATACCAGTTTGGTTCCGTTACCTCATGGCCTATGGGGAGCTGGACACTGCCCTGGGATGGACCCTTGGCATTCTGCTGGGCCTTCTCTACCTCATCCTCAAGGTATGCAAGCTTTAGACTCTGCTCAGATTTTGTATAGAATTCTCAAGTGGTTTTCTGCAGGAATAATCAGTGCAGGGTTGCAGACACATTTCTGAACGTTCCCCTCTGAGCTCACTGCCAAGTTGCTTCAGTTTGCTGCAGCCTTCCAGGAGCACTGGCTGAGGACTAAAATCATCTTTGTCTAGCAATGGATTTGGAAGCAGAGGACACAGCTGCCATAGATTCACTCACATCAGACACAGAACTTGCAAAAATAAAGATAAAATTACAGCTAAAAGAGTCACCATTTTCCAGGAAATGAAATTTTCTCTGTTGGAGTATCCTGAGTGATGCTAAAGAAGTTAACCATCTTCCTGCTGGCTCTCTGCTTCTCTCCAAAGAGCTCATCTACCCCAAATGTAACCATTTGGCTTTAAAAATGACCAACACTTCCTCATGCTCTGGTACCTTAATTCCAGGACTAAAGACCATTGCAAGTGTGATAATAATGCTGACACATTTGCACTCCATTGCTTCATTTCAGAGCCTCAACACTCTTAAAAACCAGACCCCTCCTAGGAAAAACTTCAGCCTAAATTCTTCATTTGGTCACATTTAAACATTTAAAATAGGGTCAGGCTGAACTGTTGCTGTGCTTATATGACTTCCAACATCCAACCAGCAGTGAGACTTCCAGTGCTGGAATCAAAAGCTTGAGAACTTTTTAGTTCACAGTGAAAAAATACTAAGCATAACTCAAGTTTTCTTTCCCATTTCAGCTTTTGAGCTTTTTTGGACAATGGAGAAACTTCAGGCAGGTCTTACGGATATTTTTTACACGCCCAGTGAGTACTGAATTCTCTTATGACAAAACCATAACCCCAGTTTACATGAAAATCCTTCTGGAAATTCCTCACTCCTATTCCTTTGTACTGTTTTAGCAATAAACAAATGCAATTTTAAATTAACCCCTGTATACTCATTCTCCCATTTCAGTCTCAGTTCCTTGACTGAAGGATAGTGGTGTCACCTGAACAACCAAATCACCCACAAAAAAATCTGCACATGCCTTCAGATAAAAGGATGTGAAATAATCCTTTTTTCCTGCTTCTACTTTAAAAATTAGCAGTGTTCCTTTAGATAGGGATTTAAGTTTCCCTGACACAGCAGCCCTTACTCCAAATTCCTTTCTGTCCTGGTATTTGGGTGTGGCTTTTCCATCCCCCTCGAAATTAATTTTTGCTGCAAATCCTTTGTTTTCCAGCACTATGGGGTGCCAGCCAGCAAGAGACAGTGCTCTGAATCTGATGATATTTGTTCCATTTGCCAAGCTGAATTTCAGAAGCCTATTCTGCTGATCTGTCAGGTAATACACATAATCCCAATAATTTTTTTTTAATTAAAGAATATTTTTTAATTCTGTTACACAAGACAACATAAAACTAGATGAGTGTATGTTTGATGATTATTTTTAGAAATCAGACTGTACAAATAATATAAATGGAAGAGCGTAGAAGCTCTAAGTTGTCATTCTTTTCATTCCAGCACACATTTTGTGAAGAATGCATCTCTTTATGGTTTAATAGAGAAAAAACCTGTCCACTCTGCAGAACTGTTATTTCAGACCATGTTAACAAGTGGAAGGATGGAGCCACATCTATGCATCTCCAGATTTTCTAAAGCTTGTCAAACAACTTGGGTTCCAGTTTGTTTGTTCACACTAAGGTTTTTCAGTTGACTGCAGATTAAACTGTAGGTGGCACAAGGAAGGAGTTTCCAAATTCCAGATACCATGTATTTAAACAGTGCAGAAAATGGCAACTTGACCTTTTCTAAGTAGAGAAAACTTTTCAGAATGAATGCAGAAAAAGCCAGCATTGCTTCTCTTGTGTTCTCATAGGAAACAGTCAGATCCTTGAAATGTGCTGCATTACTTGTTAATTCAGCATTTTCTTTTGTAAGTTCAGTAGGGTTCCAGACTGTACTAAACTGTATTTATCCTTCTAACACTACCCAAGCCAAAAGGTCAACCTACTGATTTTATTAAGATTATGAGCAAATCTTATACTCTGGACTGCAGTGAGAATTAGAGCTGCTTGTCACTCTTGGCATTAAAGATCTTTAATGCTTGCCCAGTAAATGAGAGAAAAGAGCTTTTTAATGCACCTGGAACAGCAACTATTTCTCACTGCACCTGTAGATAAGCACAAGAATAAGGTATTTCCCCTTTAGGTTCTTGCAGGCTTCTAATGGATCCTTGGCTTAATCTTTTGGCTTTAAACCAACCACTGATCTTAGTTTTTTACTTAGCATTTTGTAAAGCTGGTATTTTTAAAAGAAATCTTTAATACTATATTTTTGTCATAATAGGAACCAGATTTTCTTACAGGGGAGAATCTATTTTATACTCTATTTGCAATTTGTAGTTTGCATAAAAATCAGAGAGAATAAATGCATTTGAATCTATTTGTTTGGTGCATGTTGAATAAAGGAAGAAGATTCCTTATTGTTTTGGTATTAACTCATGTAAGCACATAACAGCTGCTCACTGCCAGGTATATTTTTCTTGTTGAAGAAAACAAAAACCTTTTAAATGTTACAATTTATTCATTGTTTTTTATGTTATTTCTAGCACTAACTTCTGTGTAACCTCACTTTCTTCCCTGATTTTCTTTTTTCACTTTGCTATTCAGATCAGACTGAAAACATAAATGATTCTATTACAGGAAAGTTACATTTAGTTACCATTAACTTGAGCTTCTCTTGCCTGAAGATATTCAGGAAACTTGTAAATTCAGGACAAACAATTAGAAAGTGAAATACACCTAAAGGTATTCACCCTGCTCCAAGGGCAGAATCCAATATTCAGAATAAAAACCTAATGAGATGGAAGATTCAAGCTAAGAAATATCATTACATCTGGCCTGTAAAGCTCAAGATTATTTTATGGAGCACAACAAAGTGTTGGTGCTTTCAGTCAGCCCTGATCCTTTGGTCTTTGGCTACAACATTAAAGCTCAAGATTATTTTATGGAGCACAACAAAGTGTTGGTGCTTTCAGTCAGATCCTTTGGTCTTTGGCTACAACACTGTAGTAACAACTGCAGTAAGTGTGGAGACAGGTCAAAACCAGGGACCAGGGAACAATTTCTCTTCTTTCTCTCCTTCTGTTGATTTTTCTATCCAAACCCAGTAACATTAACAAACATGTTTTATTAAAAAAAGAGATGTTGGTCAACTGGTCTAGATTTACACTTGATCAATCAAACCAGTCATTCTCATCTTAGTTACAGACAGGGAAAAAAAGTGAGTAAGTGACATCCAGGGATGGCATCTCTGTGACCCATGGACTCCTCCTGCACAATTCATCAGTCAAACCAGTCATTCTCATCTTAGTTACAGACAGGGAAAAAAAGTAAGTGACATCCAGGGATGACATCTCTGTGACCCATGGACTCCTCCTGATCCAGGCCAGGGCCACAGCCACCAGCAGCTCTGAGTCTGCAGGGACACACAAGGTGACACACAAGGTGACAAATGACAAGCAACAGCCACTTTTAAGAACCCAGGGGAAAGTACCAGGAGGAGCCTCTCTTGGGTCTTTAAGTTCTGAGGGAATTCCTGCTCCATTTCCCATCACAGCTCTCAGGAATGACAATGATTTACATTTCCTGTTATTCTTAGGGCCTACCTACTTCCTAAAATAAAAACAAACAGGTCACTTGGATTAACACATGTTTAAATTTGCATTTAGTTGCTATTCACATCCACCTTATTTAGCTCTTGAGGATATTTAGCTGCAGTAAACTGTGAGAGATGAAAACCAGGACAGGGATTACCTTTGTTTCTGCTAAGGCAGCTCAGGGGTGTTCTTGCAGACAGCTACAGATGGATTTAGTCTAGAAAAGAGCAACTGGAGAAGTTCATATATGGGACCTGCACACAAGCATTTGCGAGAAAAATATTCAAGTAATTTGCTTTGTTCTTAATGATTTCTCCTTTGGATAAACTGAACTGGGGAAATGAAACAGCAACGAGCCTGCTGCAGAGACAGAATTCAAATAAACCAACCAAAGCCCAAACACCTGCCCTAAAACCAGAACAGCCTCCTCAATGTTATTGCACTTTTTGATTAACACTGAGAGCAGGTTGGGAGTTGATACTGAAAAGAGAACAGACCCAAAATAAACTTCAACTGTACACTCAGAGTGGACTCAAATACGAAATGTTCTCCAGCAGTTCAGCTTTTAAACAGCACAGCAAAAAAAAAAAAGGATATTCAAAAGAACAATTGACTCGTTGATTTTTATCTTTTATTATGAGCTAATACCAGGATGACATTCAAATGTCAGATGGCACAATTAAGACAGTCTTGGTAGGAATTATTCCAGCATTCCCAAAATTACAATTTAGTACACGAATGGCGTCAAATGTATGCATCACTCCCACAGAGAAAAATTATGGAATTCTGAATATTTTCTACCAGAATAGTTTCTGCATCAAATGGGAAAAAGAAAAACTGCTGGTAACACAGCTGACCTAGAAACCTTTTCTGGTAATGACCTGCAGAACAAAATATTTCCCTATTTAACATCTAGTAAAAAAAAATATGACTTTTGTTCAAGTTTAAGATTTAATACTTTTATATGGTTAGCCACAACAGGTATTAACCTCAGTTTTACTATACTTTTGTAATGCTACAAAAATCCTATAAAATCAAATTATAGTGAATTTTTCAGTGATTATAATTAAAAAAGCGCAGCTTGTACAAAATAAAAAAAATAAGATTCTATACTCTAATGAAAAATTTAAGACATTTTTAAATGAACAAAAGAAAGCACTTGTTAAGCTCTCCAATATTCAATGCATTCTGCACTTATCTGAAATAGCCAGACAGGAGCTAGAACTCCACTCCCCTTAGTTCACAACTAGTAATTTTGACACTATTATATATATATATAGAGGATCTATGTCTGATATTTTTACAAATAAATACAGGATAAACCATATTGCATAGTGTGTGCTTGCTGTCTGAGTCACACTCCCAAAGTTTCACAGTTATGGTAGGGAATTCAACTTACAATCTACGGGCTGAAACATTGACAGTACATGGAATTTCCTTGGAAAACCAGTGGGTTGGGTTTGTGATTGATCAGTGAACTCAGACAAACAACTCTTGCCATTCTTGCCAGCCATTAAACCTTTAATTCCACTGGACAATTCTATCCAGCCAAGCAAAAAGCAACTGTTAGCTGTAACTAGGACCAAGAGAGATCTGCCTCTAAAAAGTTCTTTTTTTTTTTTTTTTTTGTTTTTCAACCAAGTTCCTTTATCCTCAGTGAATTTCAGGCAAGTCCAGGTGTTGTGTGTTTGCAGACAGGCCCAGTGCAAACACTCCTGGATTTTGGTTCCACCAAATCACCCGTGGCCACGTCACCAACTGAACAATGGCAATCTTCCAGTATGTCACTGTAAGGTAACTTGATTTTTCTGCTAAAACTAAAAAAAAAATCTATATTTTTCAACAAAAGGCTTATCAGGAAGTTAAAAAAAAAAACAAACAAAACCTAATTTTTGCTCAATCATAACCATTTTTATGTGTTGCTTCTTTGTTAGCATCAAGGTATCGCTGAATCCTTCTGCCCTGCCAGCTTCAGCAAAGAGCACTGGGACTGGATTCAATGCTTACAGAGAGTTTATGGCTTGGATCCTATGGCTCAAAAAGATTCAGTATCCACAGAGTAAGCAGAATCTAGAATTCAAAAATCCCTACTGTTGTGAAACACCAGAAGTAGACTTTGCACAGTTTGACTAAAAGATAATGCAACGTGTGGCAGGCAAAAAGTGACAGGACTTGTATGCAGCTGCATGATCATCTCCACACACACGCACACACCATCCACACTCTAACTCTAGGGTAAAGCTCTGCAGATATTAACCCTTTCACCAGCTATGTTCATGGAAATGCTTTCTCTTTAAGGCAGGAAGTATTTAAAGTAAGGTAAAGTTTTACCTTTATTTTATTCTTTGTACCTGTAAGTCAGTTGTACAGATCGTGACAATTTTAAAAACATAAATAGTGTCCTTAAGAACATGTTTGCTAAATTAAAGTTTTGCTAAAGTTCTGACCCACTGTGGAAGACATTCACTGAAAGGCCATTGAACACTTTTCTCATACAATCAGCAAATTTATTGCCCCAGCATAGAAAAAAAAAGTTGATAAATTTAGAAATGTATAATGGCAGGAAACTACCATAAGCAAAATTTCATTAATAATAATTTAAAAAATCCTCAAATTCTTACCCACTGGTTACAAAAATATTTATTTCCTTATACTCTGGAGGATTTGTCTGTGTTTCCTGTGGTACTTCCTGGAGATTTGTACTGACCTTGTGTTCTGCTCTCTGTTGACCTCTCTGTGGGTAAGAATCTGAGCTGCCAAGCCGTGCCCAGCGGAGGCCCAGCGTGTACAAAAGTGATGTTTCCCAGTGAAATGTCTGCTGAGGACAGGCATGAAATAAGCAGGACGTGTGTGAGCCCGTGGCTTCCAGTTAAGCCTAGAACATAGCAGCAGTGCTGTTTGATTAGATCCATTTGTCTCTGCAGGAACAAACAGGGATTTCAGCGGGGGAAGCAGGGAAACAGTTCTCTCCCACCCCACACTGCCAGGCTGGTCAGTGAGTGATTCATTTATTGATTGGTTGGTTCATGAGGAGGAGAATCAGAACTAGAGCCTTGAACTTTCTTCACAGCAACCAATTAAGTTTGCCTTTTTCATTTTGGGATACTTTCCATAATGAGCTGAATCAAAAAATCTATTTGAAAAATATATATTTTTTTATATATATATATATAAAAAAAACTCATTATGTTTTGAATGTGAAACACCAATTAAGTTTAGCTTTCCTCTTTGATTCCACCCCATTGTAGGGAACCGCTTAACGAAGCTTGCATGCTAATTACCCCTCAGCTGCAAGCCTGCAGGCATTCCAAACTCTGCCTAGTGAAAGGGCCAACCCTCCTCGACACATTCACGACTACACCAGTGATTCTGAAGCAACATCCTGCCCCTTAATACTGTCAGTTTCGAGCTCTCAAGCTGAAAGATCCTTGATAAGGTGAGAAGATGTCACTGGAATCAGTAAGATGATGTGCCTAGAGTTCTGCAATACCATTTGCTAAAGTTTGTTTTTTTTATGCACCATTGATTGACAGGAAAAAAAAAATCCGTTTCTCTTTGCTTTCCAAGTCTCTCTGTGCAATGACCGATTCTTTGATACTGTCACTTTTCCAAAGTAAACCCAACAAGCCCTCCAACTCCAGCCTCAGGGGGCTCACGTCCATCCTTGGCTCTGCACCTTGCAAGGCTCACGGAGATGGTGGTGTCATAGATTCATGCGCAAGTGCTCCGGCCGTTT